CGACCCACAACCCATTCTCCACATAAAAAAAGAACCCTTATTTGTACACATTTACAACCCCCCCCCCCCAGTACATGTTATCCTCCCACTCCCTGACCAAACAGAAGGAAGCCGCATCCACACAATGCCCGGACAGTCTTTGAATGGAGACAGAACACAGCCATTTGGCATTTGTAGTCACTGTCTCACTGAATTAAAGAGAAAACAAGTTGAATTCATTTACATTGGCTTTTTACATGTTGACCCAGTCTAGGCCTTCTTGAGGGCCTCAGACTTGTCAAAGGAGTTAAAAAAAATCTCCCTTAAAATCAATGTACCAACATTCAATAAAAGTCAGTTTTTAAAATACAAACATATGTCTAACCACTCCCCCTGCCCTTATTCCCGCTTGGGGAGAAACTGTCAGTGCTTTGGACTGTCAGTCTGATAGCTTTTCACCTTCCAAAAGAACTGCATTTACTTGAAATGATGCTAAATAGTCATTATCCAATTCGCTCTGTCAGATTTGCAAAACACTTTAAATGTTCTAAAAGGCAAGAATATTTGAGTCAAAAACAAATAACCGCTATCGGAGGAGAGTATCAAATTATACCATTTTCTAAAACGTTTATGGTTCTCCCTTAAAATGTGGAATGATTTTACTCCATATTTGTTTATTTTACAGAAATTAAATCACCTAACTGATACCTTGTGGTCAGATTGGAACAAGATTTAAATAGCAGTCCTGGAAAAGTAAGTTCCAGAAAGCAGTAGCATCTGCGTGAGAATGTTATCTGCAGTGTTTTGGACTTATAAGGAAGCCGATTCCTATCCAGTCTTCTCACCGTCATCCCCTCGTCTCACTGACCCGAGAGGTAAGAGTCTGATGTTGGGAGGATATTTTCCATGGGTTTTGTGTTTCCGCCCATCTTCTGCACAAAGGCAGTGGCAGCTTTTGTTCTGCACCATCTTATCGAGGATGTTTATAGAGCACACAACCTGGGAGAATAGAAATAGTGTCTTGCGGGCTGGCCTGGTGGCGCAGCGGTTAAGTGCACACATTCTACTTCAGAGGCCCGGGGTTTGCCGGTTCGGATCCCGGGTGCAGAGATGGTACCGCTTGGCAAACCATGCTGTGGTAGGCATCCCACATAGAAAGTAGAGGAAGATGGGCATGGATGTTAGCTCAGGGCCAGCCTTCCTCAGCAAAAAGAGGATTGGCAGTAGTTAGCTCAGGGCTAATCTTCCTCAAAAAAAAAAAAAAAAGAAATAGTGTCTTCCTTCCTGAGGGCAGATTTGTATCCTCACAAAGATAAAAATGTTGTCTCTTTCTGGGGCAAGGCTGGGCAGTTTGCTATTTTCCTTATAAGACTGGAGGTCTCCTAAGCTCAGGGTTCCTTAACTATGGCACAAACTCACTGTGTGCTGGCCTCCACCTGGACCCGCCTCTGCATTGCCTCATCCCCTGTGAGACTTGGGGGGCTGGAGCACGGGGCAGTGATGTGAACACAAGGCACATGCTGCCTGTTGTCCCTAAGTAATAAAGTCTGTCTCTGATCCAGAAGTCTCGTGTTTTCTACCAATTTCTGTGAAACTGTGACAGGCCAACTTGTTAGCTTGCAAGTAGGGTAAGGATTCTTGATATTTGAAAACATCTTCAGGTAAAAATATTCCTTAGTTATTCAACAAGTATTCTGTGCCTCCAAGAAAAAAAGTAGAGTACAAAAAGTGCAGGCTCCTTCCGGCCAGGCTGGAGATCAGTGCAGTCTTAGGGAGGGATCGAGCGCCAGAGCAGAAGGGGTCAAGGTGTTGCCCAAGTCCCACCTGTCATCATAGAGATGAAGAAAGAAACACATCCTCCACTCAGGATCTGAGGGCTCCTGAGGTCTATAAGGGAGGGACAAGAGAGGCCTTCATGGCAAGGAGGCTTTTCTCAACCCATGAAGCAGAGAACTCCAAACAGTGTCATTCAGTACCCCTCCTTGCTTATGACAAAGGCCTAGAGGTGGTCTCAAAATCTTCAACTCAGCACTTTAGTCAGCTGCTGACATTCAGCCTCAGAGGGAGGCAAAAATGGGGGTTCACACCATGTTATTTCAACATGTTAATATAAACCTATGAGGCTGGAGGATGCGGGACATCCTGGTGAAAGTTATCTAGTCTATACAAGCAAACAGGCAAGCACTATTTGGTGGTAAGTAATTTGGGCAGCATTCAGGGTCTGTGGAAGGTTGAAGGACAAGTTTGTATGGTGTGTCATTTTCTCTAACTAGTGCTCTGCAGCCTGGAGACAGCATAGAGAAGGCAGTTGGGTTGATCCAGACTGGGGCTCTGCCTGGTGGCTGTGGTGGAAGGACATAAGAGCATGGGCCTTGAGGGGCATTGGCAAGAGTGTCTTTGAAGGGATGGTGGGCCTTGGAATCTAGGTTATGTTTTATTAGAGGAGGGCCAAGCCAGGAGGAAGCCCAAGATGGCAAGAAAATGATGTCAAGGGAATGGGGGTTTCAAAAAGTTCAAAGGGTAAGTGTAGGGAGATTAAGAAGAGAAAGCCAGATAAATGACTTTGATGTTGCAGTTCAAGAGTTTAGAGGTGATGATCAAGTCCAAGGGGTGGCCACGGTGCAGTGACTGAGGATGAGGTGATGGTAAAAGGAATAGAGATCAAAGAACTGGGAGGCCAGGATATTGGGTGAGTCATTTGCATAGATGTCACCTGTTGGTTGGGATGACAATGGCTAGGAAGGACAGAGGGCTGTAATTTAACTGTTATCTCTAAGGAACAGTGACTTTTACATGGAAGTCAAGAAATAGAGATTGTGGACAAGGGTGGAGCAAGGAGGCTGCCACTCTCAACTCCAGCCCCTGACATGTATGCAGTGAGGGAGGATGAGCAGTTTCCATTTGATAAGGCTGCAGGGGGAGAGGCGTCCCTGGGAGACAGCTCCGTTCAGCTAAGGGTGAGAGATGGAAGAAGACATCTTTGGCATGAATTAAGATGGAGGGAAGTTTGTCTACCAGACAATGGAGTATGTGTGATGGGGGAGGGGGCAGAAACAGTGAGAGTTAGTGTCCAGAGGAGGGAGCCCATAACAGTGTGGGGATAAGAATGGGAGAGGACGGATGACAAGAGGTGTTTGCATGTTGGGTGGTGGCCAGGGACAACAGATATGGAAGTCATATCTGAATTAGCTGACCTTAGCTTCCCTAGGAAACCCAAGTATGATTCAGTGCTGGTGCAGGCCGCTCCTTAACACTATAGGAGGTTGACTGGAATTCAAAACAATATGTTGGTATTTAAGGGTCTAAGAAGTTAATTCCCAAGACTATGGTCTTGGGATGGAAATGGCAGGAGCAGCCCCTGGGCTCAGGGAGAGGGGTCACCTGAGTCTGGATTGTGCTTCATTTGAAATCCTAGATAGGCCAAGAGAGGATTTATTTTTCTCTCACTTAATAAAATGTCAAGCAGTGACCAGTTGGGACAGAAGTAGAGATGCCACAATGTCATCAGGGACTCAGGCTTCCTCTAGCTAGGCACTCCTCCATAGGGTGTGGTCCTTGCCCTCATAATCACAAGGTAGCTCATGGAGTTCCTGCCTTTACAACCACATTGCAGGCATGAAAGAGGAAGAGAACTGGCAAAAGGGGGCTGCCAGCTGAGAGCCCTCTTTAATGATCCTTCCTGGAAGCCCCACCAATGACTTCAGTGGGCTCCCCCATCTGAAAGGTTGAGTAATCCTGTTTTTCAGTTGAGCCCATTGCCTCCCCTGACAAAAAAAAATATTTATATATGGTTATACTAGTAAGGAAAAAGGTGAAAATAGATATTAGGTAGGCAACTAGAAGTCTCTGCTACAGATATTAGAGAAACATGAAATATGATTATTCAACTTAACTCAGCTTCCTGCATGGATTTTTCTATCCATACATAACATGATTCCCAGGCCTCCCTATTTCACTTCTGGTTCAACATCTCTTCCTTTAACCTGGATCCCTGTCCTTCATTGTAAGTTCTCCCCTCTCTCTTCCTTTATTCTAAGCCACAACTATGCTCTCAAATGTCCTTGGTCACTGAAGAAACAGGGGGTCTTTTTCAGGTTCCACCACAGTATTAGAAACTACCTGTATCAGTTAGCTTTTGCTGTGTAACAAACCACCCCAGATTTTAGAGTCTTAAAACAACCATTTTGGGGCTGGCCCCATGGCTGAGTGGTTAAGTTTTTGTGCTCAAAAAAAACCCCCCATTTTATTATCTCTTACAATTCCATGGGCTGATTTGATTTAGCTGGGCAGTTCTTCATCTGGGCTCACTAGAAACACTATTTTTGAGGTTTCTGTAACTAGTAATTATTCTAACAGATACAACTACAGTTGTGCGTAGACTTTGTATGTCAAAAGTAGTTCACACTAAAGGAGAACAATGTGTTTTTCCCACCATCTTCAAAGGCTGTATGTGCTGGTTGTATTAGAGAAAACACTGTTGAAGAAGGATCGCTAAGAGTTTCAGTATAAAAACCCGTTAAGAGCGAGGCTCCAAATTTTAAAGATTAGGAAGTGAACCACCTGCTCTCTTTCCTCCCTCCGACGGCTCAATGCCTTCTTCGCTTTAGGGGACGGCAGGCAAGTATCTGGGGACCTTCTGTTTGGGAGCTGTCTTGGACCTCTGTTTCTGCCTCAGGATCTTTAAACAGAATATGCTTTCATCCTTATGGAATACATTCAGGATTCAGGATCACTCAAAGCTCTTCTTGAATTTGGAAGAAAAGAAGGCATTGGTATTTTTTTGAGTCCTGCTACCTGCTATTTAGTTTTAGGTAGTGCTCTAAGGCCTTGAATTCAACAACTTAAGCTAATTTGCATTGCAGTTATGAGGCGTAATAAAGCAGTCATGTGTTTCCACATGAAGTCATTTTAAGAACTTCTAAGAATATAAAGTATTTCCATAGAGAAAAGAATTTTAAAACCCACATTTTCCAGAAAAGCCAATAACCATACACATAATTAAACATAGAATCAACAACACGTTTTGGTAGAAAAATTTAAACCATGACACAAGGTGATTATCTGGATATTATTATTACAAAGAAGTTAAATATGCAAGCTTGGCTGTAAAAGATCAGGCTAAGCCACTTAGGTAAAAATCTATCTGTGATGTCATCGTTTCCAAGAAGTGCCATAGAAGTCAAAGAGTTAAACATTGCTCTGTGCCTTTTTTTTCCTTGTAATTCTAGAAATGTTGTATAGAGAAGTTCATCAACTCATGTAGACAAATCACACCAGGGGGCAAAAACTGAACTGGCATTTCCACATTTTATAAATTCAGAAATGAATGAGAAATCATAGTGGTACTATATTTAAAGCAAATATCAGCGCATCTTATACAAGAAAGGTGTCTTACAATAATGTTTCCGTTGGTACATTATAATTTTTCAGTTTGTATTTCTAAAATGGGGGGGTCTATGATGTAATATCAAAAAACAGAGAACTGACATAAAAAGCCAAATATAAAGATATAAAAGACAACAGTAACATTCAACAGTCCACAGATACAAGGCCATCTGGACAGGAACCTGAAACCAGCAAGACGCCGTCCACCGCAATCTCTCCGGTTTTGCCCTTGCCACGTTCTGCTTCAAAAATGATCTAATAATGGAGAGGGAATAAAAAATGACTTCAAAATATTCAAAACAATGATAGAATCAAACTATTTAATAGCTATTCAAGAGGACTAAACTTGTGTCCCTATTGTATAGAAACAGGCTTTGACATTGAATTTATAGTAATACATTGTATTTTCCCAATGCCAGGTATCCACACTGAGTGAACTGTGTTCAGAGAAAATAGAGTCACTGCAACATCTAAAAGAATCTGGAAAGCCCCATAAAGCCAAGAAGGGTAAGGTTTAAGAGGAAATTTTGGAATTCCCATTTAAAGAAAAAAAAAAAAGCAAAAATAAAAGGATATGGTTTTCTTTTCAAAAACTAGGCTAGAAGAAATTTAATATTCCTCGTGAACATCTAACGCAAAACTATATAATTGAAAGGGAATTATTTTGATATATTCAGATTTTAGTAGTTTGTAGTAGTATAGTTACTTTTCTTAAAATATTGGTTTATATATTCAGAAATTATCTGGAATGTCATTGTCTTCTGTTTTATACTAGGCTATAATTATTTTTATCTAAGACATTTAGTAATAATCAAAAGAGAAGCAAACTTCTTTATATTTTAGAAATTTCTAATATAGAGAGAAGAGAGGATGAATACTAAAAAAATTGATCTTCAAATTGGACACAAAACAGGGGTGACTCATTTAACAAAATTAAGGACATACAATGACTCTTTTATATGCGTCCATTCATCCAAAAATATTTCCGAAGAAACATTATTAAAATAAATATTTGCTGAATGAATGTTTCTAAGTTTCTTCAATATTGTAATGTTTTAATAAAACTAACATGAACTATTTTTTTATCAGGAAAAAACACCAACATACTTTAAATTCAATAATTATGAGAAAAAATTATAGCTACAATTTATGGAGCACCTATTAAATACCATTCACCATAAGGAGAAGTAATAAAGAGGGGAATACGCCTAGTGGGCTCTTTAATTCTCAATATCAGAGAGAAGCAGATTGAAAGCACAGCAAAAGGATTCTGATTCAAAGAGGACTGAGGTTACCCTGGAACAAAAAGTTTAGAGAGAAAAGAATAACATGACACACACACACATATTCTATCAAAATGAATTCAACAGTATCATCTGCATACTGTGGTCATAAATAGATTAAAATATATATTCATGTGGCAAGTAAAATGCAAAATATGGAAGCACTCATGTTATGGGGGGCAATGATTATCAATCTGTACTTCTTTTCAATAAAGTGATTTCCCTTTGTCTTTTCTAAACTTTTTTTTAAAGTAAATTCAAACTTACAACAAATTGGTCTTTTAAAGAAAGATCCTTAAGAATCATGTGTACAACAATGCCATCACACAACTATTCACCATCCCCCAAAGCATCTTTTTTTTTTTTTTGAGAAAGATTAGCCCTGAGCTAACATCCGCTGCCAATCCTCCTCTTTTTGCTGAGGAAGACTGGCCCTGAGCTAACATCCATGCCCATCTTCCTCTATTTTTTATACGTGGGACGTCTGCCACAGCATGGCTTGACAAACGGTGCGTATGTCTGCACCCGGGATCTGAACTGGCGAACCCTGGGCCACAGAAGCTGAACGTGCAAACTTAACTGCTGCGCTACCAGGCTGGCCCCACAAAGCACTTCTTTTCTGCTTCATAAATAATCACAGAGGAGTTTTCAATGTGGCAGAAATGAAGCGATTTTAGACTTGCTATCACCACTGTGTCCCACTTTCCCCGGCTCTTCAAAGAGACGAGGGGAAGCCTCAGAGGGACAAATGGGGGCAAAGAGAGACAGTGACTGTCCACTGCCTGGGCTGTTCTCTGTTGCTTTTAAGCTCCCTGGCTTCATTTTCTTGAGAAGCACTGGAGACAAGCCACCACTGAGCAGCAAGTGATAGCACAACTGGGTATAGAAATTTCTTCCTCCCCTAGTCTCTTCTCAGGAAGCAACTGCTTTCAGGAAGATGTTCCTTTTAGGTAACTTTAAACAGTAGTGAGCCAAAGAGCAGACCCCTCACAGCAGCTGCAATGGGTGGGATAATGCAGGTGGGCATGTCTAGATCTTGGGCTATGGTGGCTCCTCCATCACCAAAATCCCTGACTGATACTCTCAGATAGCTAAAAGTCAGGGTAATTAATTGACATTCTAACTTGCATTTGTTTTTCACTGCATTTTTGCCTACCGTGGTACCAAAAAATTAGGCAGGCTTCTTATCCTCTCTTTTCTCAAGGATATTTTGGCATATAACAATCGAAAGCAGACTTTTCTACGAGACAATCCCCTTCCTGATGTTTCGTCCCCACAAGCTTAACCTCCATGAGGAGACTATGCCAGTAGAAGGTGGAGGAAGTGCCTGTGAGGGATACAAGCAGAAGCAGTGAGGGGGGAAAAGCGAGATTCTCCAGCCTAGGAAGCGACCCCACTGTCTCTCCCTGGCAGAACTCTAGATGGAAAATGGTTGCCTTAACTTCCTCTGGAGGATGGATTCTCAGCAACAAGACTCCAGCCTCAGTGAAGGTTTCTGTGTCCTGGCCTGGCACGGAAGTTGAAGAGATGAGTGACTTGAAGAGCCACAAGGGTGCAGAAAATGTGCGCATCCATGGATGAAGTGAAGATGTTCCACCCTCTCTTAATATCTGTGCTACTTTTAGCCTTTCAGAAGCTCAGGCACCCTAGGGAGGGGGGCTCTCCCTCAACCCTGCATGAGCAAATAGCTGAGACTGAACTTTCCACCCAGCCTAATGGCATGAGGCTTTGGATTCAGATATAATTTGATTTAGAGAAAGCAATGTGACTTATTTTATATACCTGAGTTTATGGAGTTAAGAGTCACACCTACTACAAATATCCACAGTCAATATGACATTGATAAACTGGAATGCATGCCTCAGCCTGGATTATTCAGCTTCCCTACCCTCCAATATGCCCCACCAAGGTTTGCCCTAGTATTGAAAAAGTCCAGGGCACAGGCACGTGCCTTAGGCCCCTGCTGGGCCCGAGCATCCCTCTAACAGAGCAGTGATGTGGTACAGTGTCATTGCTGGGCAGGTTCTTTGGGGGCATGTTTTCAAAAATGAGCATTTAAAAAAAATCACTGTTTTGATGGCATACACCCCCCTCAAGCCACCATGTTAAATAAAATATTTCTCCGTATATAAATTCAGTAAATATGGAGGTAATTATAAATGCTGTGTAGAGGCATATTTCAACTCTCCAACAGGAATGTCAACCATATATAGCACAACTCAACATCACAATCCCTAAACCATGCTACAAATACAACAATGTAAATATGTGGATTGGATTTGTATTGATTCAAATAAATTGCAATGAGGATAAACTAGAATTAATGTGCTTGTCAGCACTAAACAAGCCCTGGAAGAAGGAAAAACGGTTAGGAAGTTCATTAACTACGGCCCAACATACACTTTTATCTATAGTCATGTCTTAGGATGTATTTTAAATAAGATGTTCTGCTTTGATTCAAGTGTGATAAGTGAATAGAAAGATGTTGAATTTAACATCTGACTAGGGATCAGGGTTTTTGGTCTGACGCCTATTACCAAGAAAGAGGATTTTACTTATGTTAAGTAATATATTATCTTTCACAAACAAAGTATAAATGGAATCTCAATTCATGGCTCTACTAATTGTTCGTCCTCTTGTCACCAGTGGTTGGTATTCAGCTCTTCATGTACCTCCTTCTAGCTTTCACTCTATCTTTTCCCTTCCCACCTTGAACAAACTTTTCACAAGGGCCCATAGTAGCTGCCTCCAGGGCTCTGCTCCCTTCCCTCCTCATTGCTCCATAGTGTGGCCTTTCCCCTCTCCTCCAAAGAAACAACTCCTGCAGAAGTCACTAGCCACCTCCTGATGGTCAAACTTGATAGACTCTTTGCTATTTTTATCCTATTCTTTCTGAGCATTTCATCCCATAGATCAACTTCCTCTTAAAACTCTTTTCCCTCTTCCTTTATTAAACCCACTGTGCAGTAAAGGATGAAGTCAGCAGGTCTGAGTTGTCCAAACCCTGCACATTCCAAAGAAACGTTTGGCCCTTACTGGTCCCTGGAAGATACCTGCTAAGTCCTTGGATTATCCTACCTCTAAAGAGTGTCTTTAACTTGGTATATATTTTTCCATTTAGTCATGTCCCATCCACAAGGAATCTGCGATCTTATAAGGAAAATAAAGCTTGTATACAAATAGCTATGATGTAAGATAAGAAAAATGGAAAGTACAAATTGTAACACGTGAAATTGAGGGAGAGAGAATACTCTAGAGAGTGAGAGGTGACCAGTGTAGGATTTGACACACCTGAAATGGAGGAGGGGAAAGGTTAAAGAAGACGGGCGCCTGGGAGAAAGGAAGCTCAGCCAGGGCACAGGAAAAAAAAAAAAAAGAGTGTCTTTGGCCATGTCAGATCATTTATGCTAACCATGTGACTTATGGTGGGGGCTTTAGGTCACACAGTATCAGCCTGACCTCTGGAGAAGCAAGAGATTGAGTAACTAAGGTCATCCATGTGGGCAATCATGCAGGCAGACTGACCCCCAATAAAAACCCTGAACACCAAGGCTTGGGTGAGCTTCCCTGGTGGGCAATACTCTGTGCGTGTTGTCACTCATAATTGCTGAGAGAATTAAGAGCTGTTTATATGACTCTACAGGGAGAGGAAACTATAAGCTTGTGCCCAGGCTCTCCTGGACTCTACCCTATGTGCCTTTTCCCTTGGCTGATTTTAATCTCTATCCTTTCACTGTAACAAACTGTAATCATGAATATAACAGCTTTTCTGAATTCTTTGAATCCTTCTAGGGAATCATGGAACCTGAGGGTGGTCTTGAGGATCCCAGACAACAGCCACTCTCAGTTCAGTTCAAAAAGCATTTAAAAAATGACCTTCTAGCTTCCTTTCATTGTGGTAAGTGCTGGGCATAGAACGAATGAGCAAGATGTTCTTTTACACGTTATGGAATTTATCTCCTGGTTCAGAAGGAAGTTGGTGAGAGGAGCCTGCCACACCACAGACCATTTCCATAGAATGTGATATGCTTACACCTGACAAATATTATCATTAATTGTGCTGATTAATTGCCTCACCTATTTTGCTCCAGAATGTAAGTGTTTTAAGTATGGGGGAATAGTCTTATTCATCTTTGTAGCTCCAGTGCCTAGGTACTTCAGTAAGTGTTTTGTTTTGTTTGTTAAATCACTGAAAATGCAAGTATCTAGTTTAACACTGTTTTTCCACTTACAGTTTTGGTAGCATCGATCCCTTGATACAACTGAATTTTCCCCATCTTCCACTTTTCATCCTCACTCCTGGTCTCCTCCCATGCCAGGGCATTGTTACTGTTTTTCACAAACACTCGAAGTTTCCCTACTTTGTCTCCAGCCAGCCGGTAATGAAAAAGCAAACAGAAGTTGCTTTGGGGCTGCAGGTCGGGGAGGAGAAGTTTCAACCGGCCAACGTCCTTCTTATGGCCTGCCAGGGCTGGAACTGCCATATAGTAGCCAACAGCTTTAAGAGAAGAAAAACGCACAGTCAATGAGGCCACTGTAAAGGGTTTGGCTATAGTGTATAAAATAACTATAAAAAATGAATGATAGTCTCATACAGGGAAAGCTGATGTCCTTTTCATTTTGAACATAGGAACAAAATTTTCATGCTAAAATGTATTTTAGGGATCACAAAGCTGAAATCCTTTGTTGTATAGAGAAGGAAACTGAGGGTCAGAGATGCTGAGGAATTTGTCCACATTCACAAAGCTTGGTAGCAGCAGATATGGGGTAAGAATCTATTAAATGGTCTTTTAGCACTGCAGGTAATTTGCAGCTGATGGAGAACTGGTGCTCCAGAATTTTCCACCTTGGTTGTTTGAACTTTGGAATGAGTTAATGATGTGTATGACAGCCAGCTCCTTAGGTGTGTCTACAGTGTGGTATTTAATTCACAACATGCATGAATTTGTACTAATGGTTTCATGGAGTTCAACCACCATGTGTAACATATCACTCCCAGTTCTGATTTAGGACGCAGGAACACATCTCCTTCTATTTCTAAGTACCCATCTTCTAAGTATCTTTTAACCATTGGAGACAACATTTGCTCATCTCCAATCTTCTGGTTGTGCCTTTGATTAACTTGGGCAAAAACTCTCGTGCAGTGGGGTCTGAAGAAGTTGATGAGAAGGAGGAACTCCTGTAGAAGCTGGGAGGAAGACACCGGGGGTGAGGTGGCATCTTCTGCTGGTGTAATTCCTGGACATGCTTGCAGGACGCAGGTTGACAATGCCTTAATTTTCTACTGGACCCAGAGACTTCCCAGTCTTCTTCCCCCAGTCTTTTAACATTATTAGTCAGCTGATAATGTTGTCAGATTCAGCAAATAAAAATCCAGGATGCCCAGTGGAGTTTGAATTTCACATAAGCAGTGTGTTTGAGATATACTAAAAACCATTCATTGCTCATCTGAAATTTAGACAGCCTAGACTTTATCTGGCAACTCTACCAGCTACAATCTCTCTTCTGTGACCCACTGTGGCAGGTTCCCCTTCTCTCTCAGCTAAAGCCCACTGTAATCTGTCCTTGGGATTTGATCCTTCTAATAATGCTGATTCATCCCATGTTTCTTTTTTATATTTAATGCTGTAGGGAAAGATAAGCCCACCAAGAAATCTCATGGAGGTGCAGGAGGGGAGGGAGTATGATTTGAGTGATGCAAAAGCTGAGAACCCCAGAGTCATTTGTGAAGTGGGCGTTTGTAAATAGGGGACTTCCCATTGGTGGAAAACTCAACTAAAGACATTGCTGACTGTGGGAGAGGTCGAGATCCTGGGATAACCTATGGGCTCCCAGTGTGAGATAGCTCTGGTAGACATACATCTGGAGATGCTATGATGGAAGAAAGGAGAAACTCAGGTTAGTTATCAACAAGATAGCTTCTCCAAAGATGTACTGTCTCTGGTCTGGTTAAACTTGCCACGTGCTTGCTCTGAATCTTTAGCAAGAGTCCCATTCATACAACTTTGCTGTGTGGGATGTACCCCTCCACCCTAATCCCAAGTTCTAAAAGGAATTTTTATTAGGGGATATCCAGGTTTCCTGATTGCAGGTGAGGGTTTGAAAGAAAAGATCTTGGGCCAGCCTGGTGGCACAGTGGTTAAGTTCGCACATTGTGCTTCAGCGGTCCGGGGTTCAACAGTTCGGATCCCAGGTGCGGACATGGCACTGCTTGGCAAGCTATGCTGTGGTAGGCGTCCCACATATAAAGTAGAGGAAGATGGGCACGGATGTTAGCTCAGGGCCAGTCTTCCTCAGCAAAAAGGGGAGGATTGGCAGCAGATGTTAGCTCAGGGCTAATCTTCCTCAAAAAAAGGTAAAAGAAAAGATCTCAGGGAGGAATTAGTCTAGAGGAAGGATCTAGAAGAAGGATCTTTTAACTGAGGGCTGAGCCTATATATCCCCAAATAAATAATTTGATTGGTAAGGAACTGGAGTCCCTGAAGGTGTAACAGTTGTCTCTAATTATATAGTCAGCCTTGGGAGACAGGGATTCAATTTATGCTCCAAATGGGATCTGCCAGCTAAACGCTCTGCCCAAAAGGAAAGCTAGGGTCCATCAATAGTGTTTAAGTAGGCAGCTCAGAGCTGAGGGTGAGAAAAATCCAAAGTTAAGTGGAAAGAAATCCTCAAGCAACAGAAGGGAAAGTCCAGTCCAGGAGTCCAGGTTGCTGATTTGATGCTCATTATGGTTTTTTTTTGAAGAAGATTAGCCTTGAACTAACTATTGCCAATCCTCCTCTTTTTGCTGAGGAAGACTGGCCCTGAGCTAACATCCACGCCCATCTTCCTCTACTTTATACATGAGACGCCTACCACAGCATGGCTTTTGCCAAGCGGTGCCATGTCCGCACCCGGGATCCGAACCGGCAAACCCCGGGGCTGCTGAGAAGCGGAACGTGCAAACTTAACTGATGCGCCACTGGGCCAGCCCCAACTCATTATGGTTTTGATGCTTTGAGGGGTGACTCCACTAAAACTCCAGGTTTAGATAGAAGTCATATTTCCTTTCAAGATTTATCCCCCCCCCAAACAAAACAAAAACTACAGAGCACCATTGCTAGGAAATAGGGGAAAAGGATCAACTTCTTTCTACCTTCTCCCCAATACTCTTAAACCTTATATGATTTCCAACATCTCTCTCTCAGCAGCAGGAGAGTGAATATAGATGAGGTCTGCTGGAGCATCCTTGTAGGGGTAGGTGGGTGGGAGTGGGATTAAGGAGGAGAATATATGCTGAACCAAATTAGTCATTCATCAGGGGAGACTTCGGAAGGTCTAAAAGTTTCCAACCATGACAAACAACCCTGACCTAACAAGCGATAGGAATAACAACCCTCCCACCGTTGGAGAGCTTTCTTTACCTGTGCCGTATCACGGAACATGAGATAGTGAAATCTAAATACCATTATCTCGATCAGCAGGATTCCAGTCAAAATCATCTTCTACATCCTGTTTCCAGTCACAGACCCCATGGTCAAAGCTGCAGTCAACTGAGACATTTAAATCTGCTAAGAAAAAGAGTGCATTTCATAATCGTTAAGAGCATTAGAAAAACGTCTAACCTTTGGAGCTTTGGAAGGCAATGCCATGTTTTCAGTAGCTGTTGAGAGTTTAGCTAAGCTACTCCATGGTATTGGTGCATCCATTGTGTTCAGCCGAGCAGCTGAGAGACCTCATAGTAGCGCCTGCAGAGTCACAAGTAAATGTAAGTTCCTGCTATGACTTCTCCAACAGCCCTTGTAATAAACAGTCTCCCCTGCTTCCGAGGGCCTTCCCTTGTGTGCTCCTTAGATATAAGACCCGCCTCTAGGCTTCCCCAAACCCCGATCCTTTTTGGTTTGAATTAACAATCCAGCCTAGCCAGGGAACCCCAAAGTGCTCCACAAACAGACCCTAATAAAAGTGTGGGCCCCAGGTCCTGCCTCTTTCTGTGTAAGCACCCTGCCATGCCCTCTCCATGTGGCCCCTCAAGGCACGCCATGTACTTCCTCCAGGACTCTGAGTAATAAACTTCTCTATTTCAATTCCTTCTGTGGTCTTTTGTTGAACCACCCAGTACTCGGCTGGCTCTACTTAACAAACGTTAATTTAATAAAATCCTCACAATCGTATGGAGTAAGGGCCAGCTAGTACGAGTTTTGAACCAGTGCCTCTGGTTACTTTTATGGAGATCAGGGGTCAGCAAACTAACATCCTGGCCGCTGTTTTTGTAAATAAAGTTTTATTGAAACACTTCACACCCATTCATTTACATATTGCCTACGGCTGCTTTTAAGCTACAATGACAGAGTTGAGGAGTTACAACAGACACTGTATGGGTTTGCAAAGCTTAAAATATTTATGATCTGGTCTTTCACAGAAAAAAGTTTTCTTTTTTAAAGATTGGCACCTGAGCTAACATCTGTTGCCAAGCTTCTTTTTTGTTCTGTTTTTTCTTCTTCTCCCCAAAGCACCCCAGTACATAGTTGTATATTCTAGCTGTAGGTACTTCCGGTTGTACTATGTGGGACGCTGCCTCATCATGGCTTGATGAGCAGTGCTAGGTCCGTGCCCAGGATCCAAACTGGTGAAACCCTGGGCTGTCGAAGCGGAGCGTGTGAACTCAACCACTCAGCACAGGGCCGGCCCCCAGAAAAAAGTCTTTTGACCCCTGATGTAGATAACAGAAACTACCACTGGGAAAGAGGGGGAAGTTTGAGATACTCCTGTTTATAACCAATGCCAGCTTCTGGCTCTGATTTTGGAGCTTTGGCAGTTCATGCTGAGGAATAAAGGAACGGCAAAAAAGGGGAAAAAAAGCTCAAGAGAGAAGCAGGAGCAGCTGGTTGTTGACTTGTTACAATTTGCAAAATATTTTCACATACATTACATCACTTGATTTGATTATCACAAAAATTCTACAGTCAGACCCATTTTCAGGAAAGTAAAACTGAGGGTCATAAGTGATTTGTCCAAGTCCTGCAGACACTGAGTGCTGGAACTGGACCTGAATCCTAAATCAGACTGACATCCGGGGCTGTCCATGCTGCCCAGTTCCTAAGCCAGCACTGACACCCTGCCTCTTTCCTCACTTTCCTTCCATCTTAACCCCTATTCTTCCCTATTGCAGTGAAGATATTTTATTTCTAGTCTCAGTTTTAAAATTAAAAGATGCCAAGTAATACTTGCTTCCAGTCTTCAGTATTCTTCAATGAGTGCTATTGCTAGTTGGAGAAGTTGAGGTTACCAGCCCACAAACAGTGCAACATAAACTTTTCAGTTGGTTTTAACTGTGGTGGCACATTTGTCCCAACCCCTGCCCCCCTTTCCTCAACATGCAGGATACTGGGAATGTCAACTGGGACAATGGAATAGCATACAGCTAATGACTCCTTAAGGAGATAAAACTCAAGGCTTTGGGCTCATGAGCACCATACTTCATTTGTATAGAACTTTATGGTTTGCAAAGTGTTTTCAAATACATCCTCTGATTGAATGCATACAACCCCTGAAACAGATGCTGTTGGGGCTGCACCAATATCTGTCAGCACTTATATTCCCTAGCAGACACATGGCTTTCCACTGCAAACACCCACCACTCTCTGCATGAGGGTATTCTCTGGCTGGAGCATGCTTGGCCTAAGCCAGGCAGAGCAGAATACCAGGGAGCTCTGTCCCTGGGAGAGCCCTCCACCAGTGACGGACAGGAGTTGGTGGATGGAGACCTCCTTTTCTTTGCCTATGGGTAGGAACACTAAGTACTGGAATTGGACATGGACCTGAAGTCAGATTGGAATCCAGGTTCTCTTCAGTCTTGCAGGGTGTCCAACTGGGATGGAAGTCCAGCTGCCACAGTGGTGCCCCTCCCTGCTTTTACGGCAGGCCAGGAGCGCCAGGGAATTAGCACCCTCCTGGGAGCAGCCTTCAACCAATGTCAGATGGGAGTTAGCGTAGAAATACCTTAACTCCCTTGCCCCTCCATGAGGGCAATCCTGAGCCGCGTGTTCACCACTGGCTCCCAGAGTTCCCCAATGGGATCGAGCTCCAGTTGCCCACAGTGGAAACTTGCTTGATACCACACCCGTTATGGCCTCCTTCTCTTCGTCGTCTCACTTCCCGACTCCCCAGCCACTGTTTCCTGGGATAAACCACATAAATCACTTGCACTCAAATTCTTGTCTCAGGGTCTGGTTCTGAGGAACCCAGCCTAAGACAGCACCTTAGAGAGGAGTGTTGGTCTTATTCCAACTTTACACATGAAAGCAATGAGGCATCACGAGTCTATTGACTTGCCCAAGGCAAACAGCAAGTGGCAGAGTCGGGGTGCCCACCTGAGTCTTCTAATTGAGACTGAGTGCTCCAGGACAACTTATTCAAGGACCTTTGAAATCACAGAGTCATATGTTCTTAGGCAAAATTGTCAACTTTCTGTGTTTCACTAAGGATCATGGAAGAAAATAAAGTAAGAGACCTGGTCAGTTTGGGGATCCAAAGAGGAGTCAAATAATTTATTAATGTCACTTAGCAAGTGTAAAGCAGAGCTGGGGCAGAAGTTCTGAGCACTTGGAGAATGTAGCTTATCCCCTGAGCTATGAAACATCTTCTTCCTAACCAGGAAAATGGGCAATAAGATGTTTGATGCAGAGAAATAAAAATAGACCACTTAGGAGAAATATGGAGGAAAACAAGATGCCTGTAGGAGCTGGGTCATAGGTCACTAGCCTTTGGAGAGTTTTTAGTACAAGCTTCTCAGATTAAATTTGGAGAACTGAACTAGAGAGGTATTTTCTTGATGGTGGAGATTGTCCTATAAACCAAAGGGATAGAATTGGAGAATGTACTCATGGTGTAAACACAAAAGGGAATTAAATTAGCACAAGCTTAGAACATGTATAGTGGTAAGTGAAAGAGAGTTTGAAAAGGAAAGAGAAGATCAAGCCATTCATATGTACACCAAGTGAAAGGGATAAATATTTAAGTGGGCTTTTCCCTGATGCCTGTGTAGAGCTGCCACATACAATTTGTCATGGGTAGTGAAAGTGCTAAATGAACTCAGAGGAACTAGGGATCATGCCTAAGACGTTCCAGGTTATGAGACTTTGATAGATTGATCACAAAAATGGTCCCAATTTTTACCCCTCCCTGTATTCATGTTCTTCACAACATAACTTTGCAGCGCCTTCCCTAACTCTTAAATCTGGGCAGGCCTTGTGACTTGCCTTGGCCAATAGAATATGGCAGAAGTAATGTGCCAGTTCTGGGCCTAGACCTCAAAAGGCCCATGTGTCTATGCTCTCTTTTTTGGAACCCTGCCACCGCATCATGAGAATAAGCTTGGCTAGCCTGTTGGAGGATGAAAGACCACATGAGTCAGCCCACTTGTCCCAACGGAGGCCCCAGGCCTGTGAGAGATCACAGCAAAGATCAGCAAAGTCACCAAACAGGCCCACAGCTGACTGCAGACACATGAGTGAGCCCCACCCAGACCAGCTCAGATCAGCAGACCTGGCCAGCCAACCCATAGACTCATAAGCAAAGATAAATATTTATTGCTGTAGGTCATTGAGGGTCTATGATTATTTATTACACAGCATTATTGCAGCAATAAGTAACTGACACAGGCACTTTGGGCCAGATTTTAGTACATGGTGATTTTCAGGTTGTAGGCTCTCGGGTATTGGAGTTGAAGCAAACAAGCCATTTTCTCCCATCTCCATACATACAAGCAGCCTCAACTCTTTACTCTAGGTGTCAGGTGAGAGTTGTGGAGAGAAGACAATAGCCTTACTATATTGTAATCCATTGGTACTAATCACATAAAGACCTACTATTTTCATACTGGCACTGTGTGTCATGATGTAATGATTGTTCCCTTGGTCTTTAGGAATGAAGCAATGACTCATAAACAATCATCTCATCCTATGAAGAAATGAAAACAACATGGGACTCTGTGAGAGAGCATAAACTTAGCAGAAAGCGTTGTTTACCTTTATGTTCCAATCTGGATGTTACAGCTTTTCCTTGGGTCAGAACCAGACCAAATTCACCAGCTTCATTCACCTTAGGGGCTAATAAAGAACACTTGGTCAGTTAAGAAAAACCCAAAAATCTCACATGCTAAGAAGGAATGAGTGACAGACTGAGCAAAGAGGGTTTGAGCATGTATTCTACTTACAGAACGTTAGAGCAGTGTTTCCCTACCTTTTGCGAAGCATTCATGTTGGTTCCAGTTTCCTCATCTAGAGCATGTTTGTCCAAAGGTTCCCCCAGCTGACCTAAGCAGCTACACTAGGAACACGTCCCTTCTAAGCAGGTTTTGGAAACATACTTTCTTAAGATTTTTCATCCTCTATTAAGGGAGATGTCATTGGTATGCTAGTTCTTGGATAGGTGGGCCTGTGTCTATTCTCATTTGGCTAAATCCAACAAGCATGGAGCCAAGAACAGACAAGGCAAAATACAGAAGGAGCAGCAGATGATTTTGGTCTGGTTCTGGAGAGAATGAAATGGAAAGTCTCAGAGTGGGGGGATCCAGGGTGGGTTAATAGGGAAACTGTCCTGGAGAGGCTGAGACTTACGGTGGCTTCTGCACAGCAACCACTGAAAAGGGCAGTTCTCTGGTTCATGTAGAAAACTTAAGCTTAAGCGCTACTATAGAATTTTCCTCCCTACAATTGTCCATTTTGGCGTTTTTAATCATAACCACACAACTGTGAAATCCTCTTTTCATTGAGTGGGACTGTAAAAAGTGCCTTCAAGAAGTCAAAAGGTAGACCTTGGCAGATCCACCTGGGGAGGGTCTCTCTGGTTTGGGGGCGCACTTCATGGAAAGCTGGCAAGCCAGACAACTGTGCTTGCAGGACAGGCAGGCTTACTTGGCTGGGAGTGGAAAGAGTGTCTGTCTGCATCAAACAGGAAACCTCCCAGGTAAGGGGAAAGGACTTGCCCTCCTTGTTTCCCACAGCAGCAAATTTGATTTCGTATCTGCAGAAGATGTAAGTTTCTAGACCTTATGGAGAACCCTGCTTCTTATGACTTAGAGCCGAACCCATCTACTTAAGGCACAAAACCTCTTTTCTTATTCTTTCATTTGCCAGGAGAAACCACAATTCATTTTTCATAAAATGTATTAAAAAACAAAAGTGATACTCACAAAACACATCTCCTCGAAGGCTTTGCTCCTGCTCCACATGGTTCTTCAGGGCTTTCTCATCTCTTTTCTCTTCCTCCAGCTCTTCTTTCTTTCTCTCTTCATTCTTTTCTTTATCTCCATCAGGGTTCCCATCTCTGGAAACACTCTCTTCAGAGTTGAAGGGCTGCAAGTTAACCTTAGGGGTGGGAGTCCCAGAAGGTTCTGTGATGCCATTTTTAACTTTTACCTTCTTTTTCATGCTGTTTTTGTGAGCAAGCAACTTCTTGATTCTGTCTTTGATGGTACCAGGTGCTCTGAGGACTTCCTTCACAGAATTTTCAGGGATAACTGAAACAAACAATAACGGGCGAGAAGTTCCACATTGGCTGATGATTAGATCACTCACAAAAAATGGAGCATGTAGAGTGTTAAAGTGCAGTAAACGAATGCTTTCAGAACCAACTCAGATGAAGCTCTCCCACTTGATATTTTAGGAAGAACTATTTTTGCATCTGTTTTAAGCAGTTCCAAGGTTCCGGTAGTATCTTAATTACCTAGTGCGAGAGGACACACTTTTGTTTTGCTTCAGGGACTACTATAATGCAGTACCTGCTCCTACCAAGTTGGGCTACAGATCCCAAAGTGCTGGATTTTCCAGAGTCCTCTAACATTTCTGCTTCCATGCTGGTATTCTCCAAAGCTAATATTGTCCAGGTACTCCTATAGATTTGTCCAAATTTGATGTTCAAAGACTACAGCTATAGCATTAGCCTGAACCATATAAATTGCCAATAATGGGCCATTGTGACCTACAAAAATGATGATTTATGGTTCAATGTATACCTATCTAATTTTTCTTCCCTGTTCTCTCTCCCCTTTGAATTTCTTCACCTCAATCAACTACCTAAAGCTAAATGATTGTATTTATTCAATATTTATAGAGAGGCTTCTATATTTACTGTTTTATTCATGTCCTATTTCTCACTACTGGATTAAATCGCTTTTAAAAATGTACCTCTGGGTTGATTCCTCATACCCCACAATGGATCAGTGACCCTTGGGGGAAAATGTTAGTGTAGAAGAATTCAAGAGATGGAAAAAATGTTATTTAGCCCAACATCTGTGTTTTGTAGATGAGGGAACTGCGTGATGTTAAGTGAGGTGCCCAAAGTCACTCAGCTTGGCAGGGGCAGAGCTAGGATTTCAGGGTAAAGCAGATGAATGACTCTTTTTCCAGTCCTATTTCCATGACAGGCTTATTTCTGCTTTAGGGTTAAGGGTTACTTTTCTAGAGACTGGTTCAAATTCCTTGAGCACTAGAATCCAAAGATGCATGCGCCCTTTCTAGAGATCTACTCACGATAATTAAGAATATCAAATTGATGCAAAAAAGTAATTAAAAAAATTAAAAACACTGATCTTTAAAATCAAATATATATATATTTTTAATAAAATATGTAGGCATGTGCTAGTCTAAGACTAAGCAAGAAAGGGTCTAATAACATCTGAACCAATTCACTCAATTCTACTACTTGGATATACTTTAGAGGGAAATGAAATAAGGGAGGAGACATCAATTTCAGTGCCTAAAAAGAATACTATAAAAAGAAATTGGATTGGGATTTTTATTAGAATATTTTCCTTGGCAATGTTTCCATCTTTTCTCCTGCTCAGTTCCTTCTCCATCATTTGGCTGATTCAATCTGTACCAAAGTGGTAGAAAAATAAACAAGTCCATGATATTTTGTAATCAAAAGGAGATAGAAAAATGCTTTGAAAATATATATGCTCTTAATCAATACATTGCTTTTACTTTGAAATCAATCTAAGGCTGTTATGACAAGAGCTACATGTCCCTTTTCAACGAAATGTTCTAGCTATTTATCAATGTGACAGCCTGTAGTTATAGGTTCAAAACCAACCACTACTAATACGAGTAATGCATCATTCCTCATTTTCCCGACCTTCAGATGGGCTGTTTCAGCTTCTTTGCCAGAGGTTGCACGTTAAGTTTTGATTGTAACATGCTGATCATATAAAGATCTTCCTCTGGGGGCCCCACTGCGTAATCCTGTCCACAGCTCCCTGAATCTTTTCCCAGGATCCAGCATGAAAAAAAAAGTGAACAGGAAACCACCATTCCCTGGAAATTTCCTTTATGCAATCAGTAACATAAAACTAAGGACCTTTAATAGATAATGAGGAGTGGGTTTCAACCCACACCAGGTAAACCTAAACATCTGCTTTCAGTTTCTGCCTTGAAGTTTCGATTTTTCCTATTAAAAGAAAAAAAAAAATCAAAGCATCACAACCTTTGTGGTGTCAACAAGTTCACTCCCTTAGTACGTAAAGAGAGACCTGGGGCAAGGATAAAAAAAGCTATGCATATGCATGACTACAAATGGATAGATTTGGCTTTATCTAGTAGGTATTGCTGTTGCAAATCTGACATAACTGATGATTGTTTCTCTTAAACATTTCTTGATTATTCCAACATCATTTTGAGAATATAAAAATGTGGGAGGAAGTGGCTGTAGGAGGGTCTTTGGCATGTTTGGGGATCTCAGACATAAAAACAGGGAATTTCAGAGTTTTCAGATTCACAGGCCAGTCTTTTGTAAATGAAGTTGACAATTTCTCTTGGGAGAGATTTGAGATTTCTCTAAATATCCACTTCGTCAAAAGATTCTACCTACCTGAAAATCCCAACTTTACTTAGAGAAGATCACTATGTGTGAACATTTTCCCCAGGAGAAATATGACGTTGACATCCATTCACCTGTGCTTAGTTCACCAGATGATCTCTTACCATCTGGCAGGAGAAACACTCCTCTTACCTGAGCTTTGGACAGTCCTGGGAGGAGAGGCTTAATCGTGGGTGAGGAATGTACTGCTCCATGGGACCCAGGAAATGGGAAGGAGCGAGGATGGCAGAAAAGCTGAGCCAGGAGAGTTTGCTGGAAAGGGCCCAGGAGAGATCTCTATCCCAGGGGGAGTAGCCATCGGTCATGGACACACCTATCCTGTGTTTAAGCACACAGCCCTGGACCCCAGTTGCCTAGATTTGACTTTTAGCTCCCATGTCTTCTGGTCATATGTCCTCAAACCAATACTTAACTTCTGTTTGCCTCAGTCTCCCCATATATAAAGTTGGGATAAGAATAGGGTTTTTGTGAGGTTTAAATGAGCAAATACATGTCAATTACTAAGATTAGTGCCTGACATATATTCAGCCTCTGTTTGCTATTATTTTTAGAATTCATCACCAGAACATTTAAAATCTTTTACTGCGTTAAAAAAATTTTTTCCAGAGCCAGCTCTGATGGCCTAGTGGTTAAATTTCCACACTTTCCACTTCAGTGGTCCAGGTTCATTTTCTGGTTGTGGAACCACACCACCCACCTGTCAGTTGCTGTGCTGTGGCAGCGGCTCACACAGAAGAACTAGAAGGACTGACAACTAGGATATACAACCATGCTTGGGGCTTTGGAGAGAAGAAAAAAAAAAAAGGAAAGATTGGCAACAGCTGTAGCTCAGGGGGAACCTTTCCCTGCAAAATAAATAAAATAAATGTCCAGACCACAGCTCCACACTTCTAATGTTTGTGATAATTGAAAGAAAGAAAAATTTGGAATGGCCTGGTTGTAGCAACACCTGCATTCTTGAATATGCTTTATATAAACTGAATCAAATCAGAAGCATATCTCCAAGGACTAAGAAAGCTGCTTTTCAATGGGAATAATTGTTGAATTTTGACCCACTGCCACTATTACTCCTACTATTAGTGCAAGATTATTGAGCATGTAATATATTCTGGGCTGGAACTAAGCCTTTTATATGGACATTTATTGAGTAAGGATTATTTCATATAATTGTCAAAACAATATTAAGGGCCAGATACTATTATCTCTATTTTGCAGATATGGAAACTGAGGCACTGAATGGCTAAATAACTTGTTCTCAGTCCACAGGTAGTAGGCTGGGGAGCCAGGAATCAAGCCAAGGTAATTTGATTCGGGAAGCTTTGCTCCTGGTAACTAAATGACATAGCGTCCTTTCCTAAATTGACCGTTACTACCCAAGTCAAGTAATGTCAAAGTTTTGATTTTCTTAGAATGAGGTAAGGCTATTGTCATATGAAGACTAAATTATCTAACAGTGTATTATTAATACTCATATACATCAGAACAGTAAAAGTTAACCACACACATCTCCATTTAGGGTGTTTTTTTCTCTGGGTACAGATGGTGTGTAAGGATAATTTGCTAACTCCTCTTCTGCACTGCAACGTAGAGTCTGGATTTTTGCAAAAACAAGGAACCCATAATAAAAGTTGCTATATCAATGCTCTATATTCTATAATAGCAATTCATGTGCATACAAATGTTATTTTACAACACAGTCATGCATTGCTCAACGACAGGGACACGTTCTGAGAATGCATTGTTAGGTGATTTCGTCATTGTGAGAGCATCACAGAGTGTACTTACACAAATCTAGATGGTATAGTCTAGTACACACCTAGGCTATGTGGTACCAGTCTTATGCAATCCCTTATTATGTGACACATGACTGTTTAACATTTTACAATGCAGGATGCTAATTGCATGTGATTCTCTCATTTTTGTTTGTATAACTTTTCTATGCACAAACGGGTAGATTTCTGGCCATCCTTTAAGCAATGCATGTCAAGACTTTGTTGAGATCAATTTTCAACAGAGCCATGGCTGTTTATTTTATAGAGAATCAAGGCAAAATGGTAGCACTAGGCAAGTAATAGAGCGAATGACCCAAAGACAGTTCTCTCTTTTAAACAAACATTCTGGGGCCGGTCCAGTGGCCCAGCGGCTAAGTTTGTACGTTCCGCTTCTGTGGCCCGGGGTTCACCAGTTCGGATCCCGGGTGTGGACATGGCACCACTTGGCAAGTCATGCTGTGGTAGGCATTCCACATATAAAGTAGAGGAAGATGGGCATGGACGTTAGCTCAGGGCCAGTCTTCCCCAGTGAAAAGAGGAGGACTGGCAGCAGTTAGCTCAGGGCTTATCTTCCTCAAAATAAATAAATAAATAAATAAATAAATAAATAAATAAATAAAACATTCTGGTGAAAGACTAAAGAATTCAGCTGCAGAATGGATGGTAATAAAATGAATTATTTTTAGATATTAAACAGAACATTGTGATGAGTTCAAAGTTTCAAAGTATAAAGAAAAATTTGTGGGGGCCGGCCCCATGACCAAGTGGGTAAGATCGTGCGCTCCGCTTCCCGCAGCCCAGGGTTTCGCTGCTTCGTATCCTGGGCACAGACATGGCACCACTCGTCAGGCCACGTTGAGGCAGCATCCCATGTGCCGCAACTAGAAGGACCTACAACTAAAAGTACACAACTATGTGCTGGGGGGATTTGGGGAGAAAAAAAGCAGGAAAAAAAAAAAGAATGGCAGCAGTTGTTAGCTGAGGTGCTAATCTTGAAAAAACAAGAAAAAGAAAAATTTGTTTTACTCCAAAATACACTTAAAAGTTAGATGGTGAAAGAGAAACAGAAGTTTTCTTGACATAAGAAATGTTTGTGTTGACGTGGGGTTTATAATTTCAAAGCACTGGGTTACAATATATAGAAAACACAGGCCGCAAACAGCTGCCCAAATGCATGCTTCAGGATGCTGCCTTCATTGGACATTAATAACACATTGTAGTTTCAAGGGGATTCCACGACCAGGAAGGAAGATGCCTCCGGGTTTTCTCTGGGCAGTTCTTCCTAATCTCTTCAATTCTTAGGCCTGGGGGCAGGGGTGGGTCTGTGGAGGTGAGTTGCCCACAAGTGTTTTCCTGAGGCATCTTTTTTTGTATGCACGACATTTTTCTATCTACTTGTACAGAATTTTGGAGTAAAGAGTAGCTGGCCCTTAATAAATAGCTGTTTAAAATGGTGCTAGTAACAGTAACGACCACAGCTAACTCTACTGAGCATCTAGCGTGCCCAGCGGAACTAAGCTCTCTACCTATATTTACCTTGTTCCAATCTCACACTGAACAGAGGAGGGAGGTACTTGTCCCAGTGAGGGTTCCCCCAACAGAACCTGAGACAAGCATCTGGGTGCAGGTGGTTTATACGGGAGGTGATTCCAGGAGGCAGAAGTGGGGCAGAGGGGACAGTGAGACAAGAAGGGAGAAAAGCTGGAAAATGGTGCCTCAGTGGCAGGTAATCAGTGTGGGAAACTGGGGCTCAGTCCTGCTGGGGACATCTGGGAACCAATGGAGAACATACCTCAGCTTTGTCCCAACCTGCGAAGCGGAAGCTGGGGTATTTCTCCAGAGTCCTGTCCCCCACTAGATGAGGGCAGTCCTCAGGGGTTAACTCCCCCCATCCCTGGGTTGTACCTACAGGGGTGAGAGGAGCCTTCTAGAGAAAGCTGCAAGGCCACAATGCAGACAGTCCACTGCACTGGGGCTAGAGATATGCACGGAACTGCCCACCCGCCTCTTGAAATTAGTGAGCTCCAGGGACTGTGGCCTGGCCCATTACGAGCACCCACCACAGGACGACCATAAGCACCATTTTGGACAGGAGGAAACTGAGTTAGAGAGGTTAAGAAACTTGCTGGGTCGCAGCCAGTATGGAGCAGAAGTCAGATTTTGATTCAGGTCTTCCTAGCTCCTGAGCCTGAGCGACTGTCGACCATTACACCACACGGCCCGAGAGCAGTGAGGCTGGGATGCACATGTCAGATTTGGTGGGGTGAAGGAGCCCTCGACCACTCATCCAATATGGAAACCACTTTATTCAGTCTCCTCTCTGGGGGCCTCTCAAGTTTATAGCATCTCTCCGCCCAACCCACCCATGCACAGCCCTACACAGGCAGCCATCTCTCTCTCTCTCTTTGAATAAAGTTCTAGAAGCACATCAAGGGCACATCCATACAGAGGGAGAAACTACAGCAAGGAGTTGCTGGAGACCGCATGGCCATTTAATCTCATTTCCAGCCCACTTTTTTTTTAATTGAAGTATAGTTGACATACAATATTATGTATTTAGTGACTCACGGAAGCCACTTTTATTTCACACGCCTTAAAATATTTACGTGGTACCACAGTGAGTGAAAACAACATTGCTATGAAAGCAATCACATTGTGGATTAAGTCTTTTTCAAAGTAAATGATATTTAGTCTTTGGGAAATAAAATGCGGTCCTTGTCAAAAAAAAAATTTACGGTCATAATTTATGCTTTTCCACACTATATTTTCTTCCAGACTTAATGTAGCCTGGTTCTTTTGGCGGTTCTTCATAGAATTGGATTTCCAGACTCATTTTCTTTGGTTCTTTTTTTTTTTTTTCTTAAAGATTGGCACCTGAGCTAACAACTGTTGCCGATCTTTTTTTTTTTCTTCAGCTTTTTCTCCCCAAATCCCCCCCAGTACATAGTTGTATATTTTAGTTATGGGTCCTTCTAGTTGTGGCATGTGGGACGCCACCTCAGCATGGCCTGACGAGCGGTGCCATGTCCGCGCCCAGGATCCGAACCAGCGAAACCCTGGGCTGCCGAAGCAGAGCGCCCCAACTCAACCACTTGGCTGCAGGGCCGGCCCCTCTTTGATTCTATTCTTTTGCACACACTCCTGTCCAGTGGTGCTCACCCACAGCCCACTGTGGTACTGTGAACCTTATACGGGGTGCTGCTCAATGTCCATCCAGAGTTGACTTTTGCCATCACTGAGTGGCTGCTCTATTGTGTCATCAGGAGCATTGGCCAGATGGGGGCATGGGATGTGCTGCAGGTCAAGGTACAATTGGCAGCCATATTTATTGGAACTTGTGGGAACTCTGCTAAGGGGTATATAAGAGAGTAGAGTCAGGGCAGTAAATGAATCTAGACAGACAAGGAGCCAGTGCACACAGGGACGTGACCAGAGGGATCAACCTGGATGACCTGAAACACGGTGACATGTTGTTTGCCAGGGGAGTGACTGTACCATAACCATTGCTGGCAGGCCTTGGTAGACATTCTGGGTGCTCATCAGGATTTCCAGTTTTCTTCTCTTTGGGGACACACAGCAGGATTATATTTTTTGCCTGTACTTCTAAGCTGAATTAATTAAGAGCTGGTGCGTGATCGTCCATGCTTCTCTCTCTGCTGTGACAAACCCTAAAGCCTCTGATTGATACCGTGCTACGGCAAGATGCGGGGCCTCCGTCAGCCTGGTCCCTAAGTGACTACATGGAGAACTCCCCTGACAACTCTCTTCGGACATAGGTCAAGCCAGAAAGAAACCATTATTGTTGTTGTTGCTGTTAACGGCAGTGACATTTTATTGTTATACATCTGGTCTATAAATTTAAGATTTTACCACCTAAGCATTCAGAAATTCACCAGCAAGAACAATGGGTCTCTTTGCTATACATTAAAAATGTGAATCCAGGTTTGAGGATGACGGATAAAATGACGTCAGCTTCATCATACTTTGTTTCGACTGTGCTTCTGTAAAAAGTCCTGATTCACACGGTTAAAAAACTTTAATGGTTCTAAGCCAGTGACATCTTAGGGATGCTTGTTATTGCACCATAACCTAGCCAACCCCGACAGGTACATCTGCTCAGTGTCATTTTACCTTAAAGCTTATTTTCAGTATTTGAAAATATGTTGTGACCAGAAAAATATCCAGAACCCTTGCTGTTCTTTAAGCTTAGTGCCTACAACTTCAGAGAATATTGGAGATGTGGTCCGATTAGCAGAGAAGGCAAGGCTGAGGCAGAGTTAAGTTTTCAAACATGCACACACACTCAGAGAGAGAGATGAGGGGAGGAAGGAGACGTGGACAGCATGCTTTATTGGGAATAGCTGAGACGCCATGACTAAATGCTACTTACCAGAACACTGAAGCCCATTGCCTTTATATCCCTGCTTGCACCTACACTTGAAAGACCCTTGGGTATTGAGGCAATTGGCGTAGAGGCTGCACGTATGGGTATTCACAGCACATTCATTTACATCTGAAAATGTGAACAATCCCGTGAACAACCTTGTGGTAACAGGGCTTGCTGAAAGACTATCCCTTAAACCTGAGCAACCCCAGGGCCAAGCACCCAACCCTGCCAACAAACCAAGTGTGGCCTGAGAGTTGAGCGGTGTTTCAAGCTCCCAGCTCCTTGGCCCAGAGCCCTGGAGATGCCCGCCCGCCCAGTATGAAGGGAGTGAGTCTGCAGCTCGCCTCCCCTACAGCAATCCATCTGCTTATCAACACCAGTGAAATCTGGAGGGTGTTCTGGTTTTTTCCTTAACTTTGGCATCTAATTTAGAACTCAACAACAGTATCAGAAAATAAATTCTATACATGGAAGGACTTGGAGCCCCTAATCAACAAAGATCGAGGTGGGCTAGGAACCATTGATGTCATCTGAATTTACAGGCATTTTGCTCAGACTGCCAGGAGCGAGGTCAGGCTGGTCTGAGCGTGTCTGCTGGCTTTCGACTAGGAAACTTCGCCCAATTCCACCCAAGTGAGAGGTTTATGAGCCCTCTTCTTCACCTCACTTTCTAGCTTCGCTTTGGTAGACATATGCACACAAAAGAGCCTATTGTTTTCAACTTAGCTACAAAGGGAACTTGGATGCTAGTCTAAATCACTTTAAAAATCACAAAGACTTGTTTCCTTTGGCAGCTCTCCATGTGCATTCGCACCCTGTCCTGTGGGACCTCCCTCTGGGTATCAGGGAACTACTCTGTGACACGGCATCACTGGATTACAGAGCTGGATAGGTCTGCAGCAGGGCATTGGGTCCAAGCCCAGGAGAAATGGGGATTTTACAAGCTTGTTTAGGACGCAATTTGTGTTTGTGAAGATTTGAGGGAAGAGCTGTGGACACTTTACAAGACGGTTCAAAACCAAGTGTTGCCCCAAGACAATTACACAGGACGTGTCCTGGAAAGCTCTGAGTGTAGGGTTGAAAGAAATCCTACTTTTTTTCCCAACTGTTAGCTTTCCACGTCAGGCACACACGTTTGTGACACGTTATATGAATAAGAATCTACAGGGAGCCCAAATTTCCCTTCACCGTAGGACAGGCCCCATCCCATGTTACATCAAGGGCAATGGGAATGCGTCCAAGGGCTCCCCAAATACCCCACTGCACTTGCTCATTGAGACTTGGAATGCCTTCACTGAGGGATAAGTCATTTTATTTCACACAGATCAGGCCAATGCTGAGTGATGCCAGAATTTTATCAGAGAGTGGTTTTGGTGACCCTGGACAGGCAACATTTTAGGGGATGTGGACCTTGAACCATGAAAGGGCTGAAAGACGAGAGAGGAGAGAGCATGTGCCTTCATCTCCTTCATACATTTCTCTATAGCCACCCCTGATGGAAACTGTCCTGGACAGATCACTGAGATCAGGATGAAACAGGCCTTGTTATTCTTCCATTTATCAAACATAAAAACTGCTTTATTGCTCCCATTTTCACATATGTACCTGGAGATAGAACGAAAAATATAAACAAAACAAAACCAGTCAAATTTGTAAAAAACCCACAAAAGATCATCTCAAGATGATTTCACGTAATTCATGTCACTGGAGTTCCCTAAATGCCGGAAACTTTAAAAAATCTACCTTTTTCTGTGTTGTTAAGCTGATCAGTACAGTAGATTGTTGAAATAGACTGAATTGACATCAAAATACCTGTAGAGAAAGCCTACAAGTTTGGTAGGGAGAGGAAAAAAGGAAAAAGTGCCACCAAATCTTACCTACACAGTCATATCGGCCACTGATATATTTCAGTTTGAAACCAACATGACATTTGCAGTAGTAGCTTCCAAATGTGTTCACACATCTTCGATTGTAGGGGCAGACAGCTTTACCAGAGGCACATTCATCAATATCTAGGATTTAGAACCAGGTGTCAGTGATAGCAAAACAAGCACCCTCCCTCAGAAACACACGTGCACACATACTCGAGTACACATCCATGATGCAAGCATGCACACAACACATGTGTACACATGCAGTTTCTTTGTTGGAAAACTGATGATTCTGATGCCAACATCTCACCCTCTGAGAAGTGTTCTAGATTCCCCAGGCACACTCACAGCTCTTCTCTTTATGTATTTATGTCACTTTGTCCATCTTGTTTTAGAGACGTTATCTTACTGTAATGTCACTACTTACATTCATATCTTTCCTGTTAGGCCCTGGCTCTTCTGGGGCAGGGAGCATATGTCTGGTACTTGGGATATATACATTACACGTTTGGTGAGCGAATGGTGAGCGAATTAATATTTTTCCAGCTATGTATATTGTATAGCATATACAATTTTTGAAAATAGAGTCAGATAGCTACATTTTAAGCAAACCAAATACACATTTAAATCTTGCATTCTATGAAAGAATTATTTCATTAGCAAGCTCCTCCAAGTCCTGCAATATTGACCCAAATCGCAGACATGGGGTTTCCTAAGGATGCACTTAAACATACATTGTGGATCAAGCAGAATGATGTGACAATACGACTTCAGCACAGAAGAGGCCTCCTTCCCCTTCCGCCATTGCGAGTCTCATCACAGAGGGGCTGACAGCTATGCTCACCAAACCATCAAGACTCAGGCTTTGCCTTCACTTTCAGATGTCAAATCAAATAGATATTATGTTGTTATTTTGGATCTGTAGTTAGACATGAAGGTTCGTGCTGGCTTATTGTTCCCTCTGCGTTCTTAAAATAACTAATAAATCAGTGTTGGATTGACCAAAATTATTGTTAAGTGATCAGTTCCCCTTCTAATAAAAATGGCACCCAACAGCTTAAAGAGGTGGGTGAAAATTTGGATTTTGTTTGGTCAGGAATTAACCTTGTTATATAAATCTCATTTTACTGAAGAGTACTAAGCCCTGTGAATCTCACTGAATCTTTGATTACTTTCAAAGAGCAGAGCCAAAGTTTTAATTTACATGGATTCTTTTAAGTGTTTAACTGATTTAGGACTTATCTGGCTGAGCTTTCTAAATGTAGTTTATTGAGTTATGTACATTTAGGATAAATAAACACCTAGTACCTTGACTGAAAAATATTTCTATTGCAGTAAAGAAGTAAGAATATTTTTATTTAAATCAAAAAAGATTAAGAACTCTTTCAACATTCTGATTTGGTTTGACATCCCATATTAATGCTCACTTGCTCTAAATATTACATATATTTAGTGCAATGTTGTTAAGCACAGTACTATGAGTATATGCAATTTGGTAGTTGAAGGAAAACGTGCAGGGTAAATATACTAAGATAAAATTAATTTTCTCTTTTTACACTATGGCATTAGGCAATCCAAAAATAAGAGAGAAGTGTTTTTTCCAGCATCCCAAAGTGTGTCTTGAGCACATGTGGCTAAAAACGTCATCTCAGAAATGGACGTAAATCTGTACTTTTAGGAGCTTTCAGTGTGTGGTCAACAAGCAGATCATGATGACTGGAGGAGGAGGAATTCAGGAAAGGGAGGAGGAGGAGTGGAGGCGGTTTCTGCTGCTCTACCTATGCAAGCTCTTCCATCCGGGGCCAGGCGGAGGCCCGAGGACGGACACACACACCGCGGCCCTTCCTCCGTGTCTTCACAGCGGTACTGGCAGTTTGTCATGGCACACGTCCTAGAGTCTGAAAAAGTAGGCAAGGATTAGCCTTTTCCTCCGAGATGATAAAAACTCTTCCTGAGAAACCATCTCTGAACTCTGAGACATTAACTGTAAAACGTAGAAAGGTATTATAGGATAAGCTTCATGGTCTGAGTCCCAAATGGAAGAGTCAAATGGAATCTGCGCAGGGGTGGTGCCTTGGTGGCCCCATGGTCTGCTTTGCTGGCCAGTGTATTAAATTTGACTTCTTTAGGTATTTAGGTAGGGCATGCATTCCTCACTTACCAAAGACTGCATCTCTTTCTTCTCTTGTATGTTCTCTAATCACTCCTTTATGGCACTCGACTGTTCTCCACAGGCTCAAATGCAACCTCAGGTGTACAGTCATGCGCCACATAACGTCATTTTGGTCAACGATGGTCATCATATATGATGGTGGTCCCATAAGATTAGTCCCATACAGCCTAGGTGTATAGTAGGCCATACCATCTAGATTTGTCTAAGTACACGCTATGATGTTCGCACAATGACGAAACTGCCTAAGGGTGCATTTCTGAGAACATATCCCCGTTGTTAAGTGACGCATGACTGCAGATGATCAATCTGAGTAGAGTGAAAGAATCCATTCTAAAGATCTTTCCATGCATATCTAGCCTTAATGAGAGTCACTCGAGTCATGGGACTTGGTCTTTTAGGGGCCTATATTAAAACACGTGGCAGATACAACTAATCAGCTGCCTGAAAGCCATTCTGAACCCCCTTTGCTCTTGCCATTCCCATCACTGAGGCTGGAAAACCTGATGTTTGTCTCTTTCCCAGCTTTTCCTACAGCAACAAGGAGTGGCCATGTGACTTAGTTGTGGTCAAAGAGATATAAAGATAAGTCTATTGAAGGGAGTGGAACTTCTGGAAAAGATGTGCTACATGATAAAAGGGACAGGCATGAAAGAGGTGTCCATTCACTGGCATCACTCCTTTCCCCTTTGTCTTGCCTATCTCAAATGTATGTGTGATATCTGGAGCTGGGGCAGCCATATTGTGACTATGAGGCCACAGGCATGAGAATGAATCAATACCCTGAGGATGGCAGAGACTGAGTCCTTGCTAAGCTGTTCTGGAACTGCCTGCCTCCAGCTTTTTTAGTTAAGTGAGATAATTTAGTTGGATTTTTCTGTTACTTGTTGCTAAACATAACTTATCTCACGAAAATGCATTTCCTCAGCAGCGGTCCAGTATATGTGGATCATTAGTGTCCACAACAGGGGAGCATGGTGAATATACTCCCCTCATCTACCCCCATCCAGAACATGCCAATCACCCAGCTGGACAAAAGAGACTGCAAGGAGCCAGGAGAAATAAAATTGGCACCCAGGAGAGAGGCCCAGGGCTACCTGGACACTCTGGGCTGTAAGCAGAGACACCTCTCCCATCTCCAGAAAGAGACAGAGAGGGTACAGGACTAGATACACAGGCCAAGGTCATGTAAGAAACACCTACTGATAGTTACATTTCCATATTTCTTTCTTCTCTTTAGTTGTCTTCTTTTAAAACTAATCTTCAAAATTTACCAAATTCTATCTTTCCATTTGGGGAAAGATATCTTTTTTGGCACTGAGTCGGCTTTCATGGAATGTTTCAGAAACATCTATTAGCATATATCTTTTTAAAAATGTTAAGTGATTACTATAAAAGCCTGGATAGCGGTTCCCGTGTCGGGGGAGAGTTTCTGGCAAAGTTCTATTTGGTAGTGGTTACATGGCTGCTCACTTTATAAGAATTCATTAAGCTATGTATTTGTCTCTTGTGGGCTTCTGTTTAATTTATAATAATAAGGATTTTTTTAAAAAGACTCTGAATGCCTGCTTTATCTCTTAAACTTGCTTGCTAACAGAGGGTCTGGCTGACTGGTGGTGTTGGGCACTTTGTCAAGGAGGGACAGCACAAGGACGAGCCAGGGGAGCAGGGAGCTGAGCTGTGTACTGGCCAGGATTTCATAACCGCGGGAAAGCCCAGGATGGGCGGGGGAGTCCGAGAGACGCCTTAACCACAGGAAGCTAGCAGAAGGCACGGGCTCTAGGTTTGCTGGGGGCTGCAGGGCAGAGGAAAGAGAGATGAGGAGGGAGGAGGGGAAGGGGGCGGGAGGGGAGGCAGGCAGGGAGGATGGGTTTGCCTTTCAGCTGCAACATAAAACCTGAAAAGCCTTCCTTCTCAATAATGAATGGATGTAGACTCTGACCCTCCCACAGGACATGGGTTCCTCTTTATCACAGAGGGCTTTTCTTTTCAGGAATGTGAATCGGAATGTACTTCCAACAAGAGTCACTAATCTTTGAGCACGGGGCAAGGGGCGTGAGAAAGGTACTTGGTGGGAAGAATTGATGTCCCAAGATGGAATTCAAATGTATCGCCTCCCGAAAACAATATGCTTATTTTCGTGAAGAAACCCAATACATCCTTGCATATATAGAGATGATTTCCCTTTTCTCCCCAGCTAGTCTTTTTATTTGAAGAGTAAGTGTCCAGAATAGGCAAACCTATAGAGACAGCAAGCAGATTAATCGTTGCCAGGGGCAACGGGGAGGCATGGGGAGTGATTGCTGAGGCATCAGGGTTTCCTTTTGGGGTGATGAAGATGTTCTGGAACTAGATAGTGGTGATAGTTGTACAATATAGTGAGTGTACTAAATGCCACTGAATTGTACAGTTTAAAATGGTTAAAATGGCAATTTTCACATTACATGTATTTTACCACAATTTAAAAAAAAAAGTGCTCAAAGATGTTTTAGCCTGGGGTGATGTTAGAGTTTGTGTTTTTTAAATCACTCAAGTCAACTTTTTGCCAAGCATCAAACAGCAAAAGCTAAGCCTCCAAGGTTGACTGAGAGCAGCCTAGCTGGTGAAACTTACTCGCACATGTGGCATCTGGCATGAGCATGTAGCCGTTGAGGCAAAAGCACTTGTAGCTACCGTGTGTATTCACACATCTGTGTTGGCACGGCCGGGGTTTTACTCCACATTCGTTCACATCTGCAGGGGACAGTTAGAAAACGAAGAAAGGTTAGCAGAACCAGGAAACATCCAGATGGGCAACTGGGCTGGCTTCCCTGGACTCCACTCACGGGGTGGGTACACGGGGCAATGACTTGCCTCTTCTCTGACCATCATTAAAGGGTGGGTGAGGACGTGGAGCAAACAGAATGATCGTATCCCATTGGAGGGAATGTAAATGGGTCCAACCACTTTGGAAAACCGGCAGAATCTACGAAAGTTAGATACAGACATACTCGTGACCTAACAATTCCACTCCTAGGTATATATCCAACAGAAACATGGATATGTGCTCACCAAAAAACACGTACAAAAATGATCATAGTAGCACTATTCTTAACAGCCCCAAAGTGGAAAGAATCAAAATATCTCCCAAGAGAAGGAAGGATAAATGACTTGTATACTCATGCAATGGAATACTCTACAGCAATGAGATTGAACGAAGTACAACCACAAGCAACAATGGTGAAGCTCACAAATCGGATATCGAGTGGAAGAAGCTGGATGCAAACAAGTACATTAAAAAACAGGCACAATGAGAAAACAAAGAAACAAACCAGGCACAAGTACTCTGTGGTGTAAGTGGTCAAGATATGGTTCCTCGTCGGGGGTGCCACGGCAAGTGACTACGGGGAGCATGAGGGGTCTTCAGGTAGGCTGTTAAGTTTGTTTCTTGATCTGGATACCAGTTACATGGGTGTTTTTGCAAATTCATTGAGCTGTACACTTTTGATATGTGCACAGTTCTGTGTATATACTACTTGAATAAAAAGTTGGAAATATACAATTTAGATACTTCTGCCTTTAATGCTGTCCCAGGCAGCCAATGACAGATGGCGACAGCGCAGCTTCCTTTCAGTTATTATTATTTTGGGTGGCCCCGAACTGGCCAAATTGTCTTGGTTCCTGCCCTTCTAGAGGGAATCCTGCCAGGCAGCTATTGGTGGCGAGGTCGTAGGACGATGTTTAATCCTATGTAAAGATGTTCGGAGGATGTTGTTAAATAAGAAGCTTGCAAACTATCTATACAGATCGATACCAAATTTGTTAAAAACAACGCATAGAAAAAAAGCCAGGGAGGAAATGCTCTAAATGCTCATTATAGTTATCTCCAGGTGGTGAGATAGAGGGTGACTTTTCTCCTCTGTGCTTTTCACCGTTTTCTAAAAAAAAGTGTAAACATTAAGAATGAATAACTTTTTTATTAAAATAAAAAATGGTACAGAAGGAAAATAAAACTTCAAAAGCAACCATGGGTAGAGGATCTTGTCCTTGGAAATGTTGTCATGAAGGGGCCTCATGCCTTAACTTCCTCAAGGAAGATACAGAAAGGAGAAAAGAACCAATTCCACGTAAGACAAAAATTCAGCATGGCAACAGGCAAAGCGTATCCTTGAAAATAAAGAAGTGGCTGCTTTCACCTCTGAAAAGATCCCTATGTGGGGATTTTCCGACGCCCTAGCTGGATGCTTGAAACCCCCTTCTCCATTGCTTATCCCCTCCACTCGACCACCTTCCCCATGGATCCTAACTGCTTCAAAAGGGAGAATTGAAAGATGCTGATTGGACGTAATGGGAAAGCCAGGAATACCCCATCAGTTGGCCCTAACTCAGAGGTGACTCACTTGTCTCTTGGAAGAAGCATTTTTGGGAAAGACATCAGTTGAGGGTTGAGGCCTGTGGCCACTAATGCATATATATGGACTTTCATCGGGTTGTCCCGGGGCAGGGCGGCTGCGGGGCGAAGACAGACAGTCCCAAACCTGAGCCAACTGGACCGCTCCCTCAACATTAATATTTTATTGGGACTTGAAAACCAGCATGAAAAATGTCTTCTCTATTCCAAATCTCGGTACAGAATCCAAGACATATGGAAAAACAGGTTTTCTGGTGTGAAACCCCTGCTAAGGGATACAGCTGAATTATTATTTATAAGAGCACGATTCTTTTTTTTTTTTTTTTTTTTCCTTTTTCTCCCCAAAGCCCCCTGGTACATAGTTGTATATTCTTCGTTGTGGGTCCTTCTAGTTGTGGCATGTGGGACGCTGCCTCAGCGTGGTTTGATGAGCAGTGCCATGTCCGCGCCCAGGATTCGAACCAACGAAACACTGGGCTGCCTGCAGCGGAGCGCGCGAACTTAACCACTCGGCCACGGGGCCAGCCCCTATAAGAGCACGATTCTTGACATGCCTCTCTCAAGCAGTTGGACGCGGTTCTGGCGCTGGTGGTAGGACAGAAGGGATTCAGAGATTCCTCTCTGAGGCTGCAAGGCTGGCAGCTTCAGTCTGCAGCTAACCTCTGGGCTTGGCAGCTAGGGCTAGGGATGATGGCGTGGAATGGGTGCCCGCCCTTCCCTGAAACTTCTAGAACCCTGGCAGCCTTTCTTAAGGGCAGTTGAACTTGATTTGCTGCTCTTTGCTCAACTGCATTATAGGACTGGGGACACTTTCTTTTTTTTTTTTTTTTAAAGATTTTTTTTTTTCCCTTTTTCTCCCCAAAGCCACCAGGTACACAGTTGTATATTCTTAGTTGTGGATCCTTCTAGCTGTGGCATGTGGGATGCTGCCTCAACGTGGCTCGATGTGCGGTGCCATGTCCACGCCCAGGATCTGAACCGACGAAATCCCAGGCCGCGTGCAGCAGAGCACGCGAACTTAACCACTCAGCCACGGGGCCAGCCCCTGGGGACACTTTCTTAATTATTGCAGGTTTCTTCATGCCAAGGTTTCTTAGCCTCAGTACTGATGACATTTGGGGCCAGGTCATTCTTTGCTGTGGGGGTGGCCCTGTGCATTGTAGTTTAGCAGCATCCCTGGTCTCTGCCCACTAGATGCCAGTAGTCACCCCTCCAAATGTCTTCAGACATTATCAGATGTCCCCTGGGGTAAGGTTTCCAGATATAGCAAATACAAATACAGGACGCCCAGTTAAACATGAACTGCGGATAAATGACTAATACTTTTTTAGTATACATATGTCTCATACAATATTTGGAACATACAAACACTATAAAATTGCTTACTTTTTACCTGAAATTTAACTCTAACTGGGGATCTGTATTTTATCTGGCAACTCTTCCTGGGGGACAAAATTGTCCAGGGTGAGAACTTCCATTCTTGATATTATAAACAATCTCTTTAATATCTTCAGATAAACAGCCTATGACAAGAGTCATAAATGGCCTTTTAAAATATGTCAATGACAATAAAAAATATGCCTGTTGTTCAACCCAACAATTCCATTTTTAGATATTTATCCCATGAAAATACTCAGGGTTCCGAGGACATACATAGAATGATGTCTGATTTAGCATTGTTTGTAATGGCGAAAAAGTGGGGACAAGTTAAATGATAGTGGTTAAATAAAGTATTTTTTACATAAATGATAAAAACATTTGTACTGGGGACTAGGATACAGCCATAAAAAGTATGAGACAGCTCTGTACATGCTGACATGCACAGACGCCCACGAGAAATACTGCTGTCTGTGCTATGATAGAAAGGGACGGTGGGGATCGAGGACAAACCATTACCTCTGCTTACAGTAGTGGTTACAGTGGAGATGGACACGCTCACTTTTTAATTTATAATCCTTTACATTGTTGGATTTTTTTAGTTAAAAATTATGCATTACTTTGGTAGCTTAAAAACACCATAAAAAGTATTTGTTTAGAGGAAAACAGCCCTTTCATCTGGCATCTTAAAAAAACAGAATGCCTTTGACATTTTTCTAGAAGAGATTGAAAAATCTAGCTCTGAAACCACTTTCGTTTGAAGAAGCGAGCTAAAATCTATGAAATCCTGGGCACTGCACTGTGCCACAAACCCCACTGTAACGATTGAATAGCTCCTGAGAGCTCCGGCGTCGCTTGTATTACGAGCCTGCTCTGTGGTACTGACCTTGACTGCAGCTTTTCCCGGTGTAGCCTGGAAAGCACCTACATTTGTTTGGTCCCACACACTCACCGAATTTGCATCCAGGTTCACACATAGCTGCAGAAAGAAAAGATGTTTTGAAGATAAAAGAATAGGAGTAGTTAACACAGTGAAATGCATACCTGTCAAACTCAGCGCCATCTCTATGGCAGAGAAGTCCTTGGGGACATGCAGAGGACCACCTACTTCCTCTCTAGTCTGTTTTCACCTTTAAGACAGCAGAAAGTGTTTTGCTTGTGAACTAGATTACCCTCCACCATCCCTCCACCCCAACCAGTGCCAGTTTACTGTAACTCTGCTTAGCACGGCCATGCCTCCAGTGGCATTCAAAGAAAAATAAGGTCTTCCAGACCACATTCAGCCAGTTTTGCACAGACACAAAAGCTTTAATGAAAGAAGTAGAATGTGTAAGCCGGAAGAGACTCCAAGGTCCCTCTCCTTCTTTCTGTTGCTTGCCTCTTTTTTCTCTTCCATATTTTCTCTCCTATTTTTCTTTTGAATGATGAAAACCTTTTTAATGCCGAGCGTTATCAGTCAAAATGAACAACCCACAGATTGGAGGCAGGGAGGCACTACCTCCAGCCTTAAGGATGGGGACTAAAAGCAAGATGATGATGATGATGATGATGATGATAATGATGATGATGATGGCAGCACAACAAAGGTAAGATTTATTTTGCTGTTGTATTCACTTCTGTATCCAGACACCTGACACAAATTAGACACTCAATAAATATTTGTTTGATGAAGGAAGGGGCAGGAAAAACAACAAGGATAGGACGTTCAACGGATTGAGTTGGGGGCAAGAAAAAATAGTCAAAGATGATGGAAAGTTTGAGTCCAGCTCATAGGGAGGAGGTAGGGGGAAAAAGCAGTAGATAGGAAAAAAGGAAAATGGGAAAACCCAAAGAGAAGAAAGGGAGAGAGAAAAAAAATAATGAATGAGAGAGAAAGGAGGTCTGTAGGCAATCAAGGGCCCTCAGCATGTTCGGGAGCTAGTAGGAGCTCAGGAAATGGCCCCAGTATGAAAGGATGACTCAGCAATTACCCAGGAATGCTGCCTACTTCTCTCCCCATTGACTCCCTGGCTCATAGTAGGTCTACCTCTAAGCAAGCCTGTTCCGAAAGGCCTCAGCATCTTCCACTTCAACCTCAACCCTATTTTTTGTTAATGTCACCATTCATTTCCCAGTTACCTGGACCCAAATTTCAGACATGTCTATTTTTTTCTTATCCCTAATCAGTTACAACATCCTGCTTCTACCATCAATTCACTCACTGAACAAATATTTATCTAGCTAATGGGAACCACTTTGCCCACAGATATCCGGGAGATTACACGAACCCCTCTCTCTCCTCGCTTTCCCCATCACAGCCTGTGACCAGTGCTTGACTGATGTAGGGGTTCAACAGCCTAGCCCCTGGTTTCTGGGCAGGACAAACTCTGTGGTGCAGTTAACACCCCAGAGCTCCTTGCGGGATCAGGTTGAAGCTAGACTTCTCTCGAAACCACATCTTTGCCTAGCTTCTTGCTCTGCTCCCTCACTTCCTCACAGATTCCTCCTGAGAGCACCCCTGAATAGAATCTTTATTTACACAAGAATCCCCTTTACAGCTCTGTTCCTAGGAAATCTGATGTCAGACACGACATTAACCGATATTCCAAAAGGAAAGCTCTGATCATGCCACGCCTTGCACAGAAGTCACCAAATAATCTTTACTACCTCTTGAATACAGTACAGTTATCGTAGCCATGATTTGGCCTCCATCTTCTTCTGCAGCCTTAGCTTACTCTGTTTTCCCTAGACATAGGCAACGCTGTGGTCAAACTAGATTGCCGTTCTCTAGACCTACCCTGCCCCTTCTGCTCCTTCCTATCTATTGTTACCCCCCCACCCCCCACAATGGTTAATATCCTCTCCATCCTTCAGGGACTACCTTGCACGGGCCCTCCTGCCAGACCTCCTCACAGATTTCTCCAGCCACATGTGAACTTCCGTTCAACTTTGAGAAATCCACAGCACTTTGGCGGGCTTTTCCCTTGAAATTGATCAGTTTCCATCTTATTAAATAATTAGACATATATTTGGCTTCTATCCTCGACTTCTATTTACCACCTGATTCTAAGTGCCTTCAGAACAGGGACTTAAACATTCATCTTTGTTTCTCCTGCGGTGTTTAATAGTGTCGTGAGCATGTTAGACACTCAAATAGTTTTGAACAGTAAATAAAGTAATAGGTGGAGAACTTTTAAGAAGGAAACATTTTATGGCTCTGAATAAATTATAAGTGAGGAGGTTGGGGAAACACTTCCCAGCAAAAGTCTTCCACTTCTGGAGACAAAAGACACAGAATTTGATTTCCAGCATTTATTTTCTTATGAATATGTACTTGGAGATGCTTTAAGTTCAGATGTTAGAAAAATAAATCGTTTACTTTTTAAGTCTGAAGACCTCTGATTGTTCCCTGGAAAGTTATTTTCAATGCAGTCCAGATAGGAAAGCCCAGGACAAATGCCAAATAGAACATAAGAGAAATGGTGAATAATACCCTTGCTGCTATAAGGTCAAAGCTCCAGAAAGATGTTTTCAATTTACAGTCACTTTGGATCTGTGATTTGAACAGGCAATCCACAGCACAGGGAACTACAGTTTATGTCCAAAACGGTCTGAGGTTTAAGTGTGCTTTAGATAAAGTAAAGCTCTTTCATTCAATTCTGCCTGAAACGCTTCCATCTGCAGCTTTTCACTGGGCATTTGTTCATGGACAACTCCATCCCATCTCGCTAAGTGACATACATTGGAGGGTTAATGATATCGAGGTGAGCAGACCCTTCCTAGGGAGCAGATTTAGGCAGGGCAGAGGCTAAGATCTAGAAAGTGCCGGCATCGAGGCAGGGCCTCTCAAAGAATGAAAGGTGGATAGACGGATGGAGGTGAAGGCCTGGGAGGCCTGGGACCTGAGAGGCCGGGGTCTGACTCTGCTTGTTCAGGCAGGTTGACATGCGTTCTTGTCTCATTACCATGCAGCCCACACTCTGATTTAGAAATCAGAGACCTGGCAAGCAGGGACTAACCACCCTGTTATTTTGTGCTTCAAAGAGCATGTGACTTTACTGTCAACAAGGACCATGCAAACTGGATATAATACGATACAGATTTTAGATATAAAAATCAATGCAATGGTATTAACCTGAACATTTGACTGGGGCGGTGGGGGTGCGGACAATCTCTTCAGCTTGCCAAACGTGCATAGTGAGCATGTTGCTTGAACCCTCTTGCACTTGCTCTTTAAACATCTTGCTTTAAATGCTTTCATGCCTATGGTATTATATCATCCACCAAAGCATTGAGAATGTGACTGGCTGTGTGTCCCGTGGCCAAACCGCTCTGATCTAGTTACAGAACAGCCTTCCAGAAAGCCAAAGCTCACCCTCATTTATTCACCAGAGACGTGCAAGTTTTATGGTAGCAGGTGCTGAGATTCGTGCAACTGTAAGAGAGATTCCAAATCACGTGTGCCACGTGGTTTTTGCCCCTTTCCACCTGACTGACTTCAAATAAAAATGTGTCATGTTGTGTCTAGAAAAAGAATACAGTAACATTTAATTTCCCCATCACCTGGTGCTTTAACAGACAGAAGTCTGCAATGAGAGTTATTGGTCCTTTCTGAAGCCAGGGTAATTTATGAGGTATTTTCAGTGTGTGCCAAGTACTATGCACACCCTTTAATGCTCACACTCCTTTCCCTCTGAAGCAGGGATTACTCTCTCCATGTTGCAGAGGAGGAAAAGGAGCCTCAAGGAGCTTACCTATCCTGCCCAAGGTCACCCACATCATTCTGGTGCTCAAGACAATGCCCTTGATCATGACACTATAAATCCAATCAGTGTGAGGACCCACCCTTCTAATTGACAAAGTCCCAGTGGATGTTCTAACTTTCTTTATCTAGGTGGGCAATGAGGATCTTCAAATATTTTTTCTAGTATCTTCACACTCTTATCTCGTCATAAGGAAACTGCGACGGTGGAAGGTTTTGCATAATATTGAGCATGTAGGAGCAATATCAATGTCTTCCAATGTTTTGTGGATTTTGGATAGTATCAATTTCGGCCCTCACCCACGGTCTGTCCAGACATTTTTGAACCAGCTAGAGAGGAGGAGGTTGGGGCAGGGACAGACCAGCAAAAAGAAGGTAGCATTGTTATTCCTAAAAATAGCTAACATTTTTGTGCTTTACAGTTTACAAGCCAACATGATCCACACCAGCGCCTAAAGTGTATGGGACATGCAGTTGTGTGCTTATCCCGTTTAACAGATAAGGTGTTCGGGTTCAGGCATATGTCACCTACAAGGGACACAGGGACAGTAAGACCAGATTTCTGCCCTGAAAGAATGCACCCCGGGTCAGAAGGGCAGCTAGGAGGAACGTGGATTTGACTCCTCTATGCTGCAAGTGTTGGTTATTATAGAAAGTCATATAAAAAACAAAACACCGGGACCGGCCCGGCGGCGCAGGAGTTAAGTTCGCATGTTCCCCTTTTGTGGCCCAGGGTTCACAGGTTTGGATCCCAGGTGCGGACATGGCACGGCTTGGCAAGCCATGCTGTGGTAGGCATCCCACACATAAAGTAGAGGAGGATTGGCAGGGGATGTTAGCTCCGGGCTAATCTTCCTCAAAAAGAAACACAAAATACCACAGAACTCTATGCAAATCTCCGTCCTCCCCAGCCCTCTTGAAATGATCAGAGGCCTCTCTCGGAGTTCCTAACACACGGTCTGAGAAACAATGTCTAAGGCAAATTATGGTCCCTTAGTTTGAAATTTGTACAAAAGAATCAGAAAAATACTTAAAATCTTTGCCCATATGCCTGTATCCCTTGAAACCATCTGAAAACTAACACAAGGGACTTTCAAAATGTGAGTAACAAAACTACAAAGGAAATGGCTTACTTTCTTGTTTGTATCTAAAGTCTACTGCTTGGGTGATTCATAATTAAAAAGTGTATTTCACTAGAAATCAGTTGGAAAAAATTATAATTAGAACGAAGTATTTATTGGCTTATTTTTGCCCAACTCAATTTCTCCAGATTAAAACAAAAACAATAACAAACAACCCAGGAGCTGGCCCTGTGGCTGAGTGGTTAAGTTCGTGCACTCTGCTTTGGCGGCCCAGGGTTTCACAGGTTCAGATCCTGGGCGTGGACGTGGCACTGCTTATCAGGTCATGCTGAGGCGGCGTCCCACATGCCACAACTAGAAGGACCCACAACTAAAAATATACAACTATGTACCTAGGGACTTTGGGGAGAAAAAGGAAAAATAAAATATTAAAAAAAAAAAAGTAACAACCCAGTCATACTCACCAAGATAGCAACAGAAATAATTGACAAGACAGGTCTCCTAAAACAAATCATGTCGAGGGTGATGGTGTCAGCCACATTTTGGATGGGAAGGGATCTCACAGGAACCCAGAGCTCGGATGCTGATAGCCATCCATGTCCCTCCTCTGGGCAACCCCCTGGCAATTTGCTGACAGCTTATGGTGTTACAGATAAAGACATAAGGACTACCACTCGAGCACAGGGTGGTCTGAGCTTTTACAAAATTACCTTCACAGACTCCCTTGCTGCTCCTTCTCCAGCCGTAGCAGCAGGCCAGTTTACTTCCATAGCGACAGACCCCAGGCTGGAACGCGGGTGCCGACAACCCGTGATCCCTTGGACTGCAGATAAAGAGCCACATGTTAGTACTGAGAAAACACAAAGGGCAACAGAGACTCTTTGCTGCCACTAAATGAACAGGAGAGATGACAATTACCTGGTTAATTTCAATGACCCTGCTGTGAGCGCTAAATTAGATTTTGAAAACCTGAATTTTGGGTGGCCAGCCTTTGGTACCATCCCATGCCAGCCCTCCCCAATAATTACTGTCATCCATTTCCTTCTTCCTCAGGGCTGAAAGAATTGGGTTACATAATCTATAAAACTAGGGTACATGAAAATGGCCAAAAGTTTATGTTTCCGAACCTCATAGAGCATCAATTTTCAAATCTGCTCTGTATAGAAACAGTGGCTATCCAGGTCTGTGTCTGTTTCAGTGCTGAGTGTGGTAATGTGACTCCCTGGCCTTATGGCTTTGTCCCAGACAAGAGTGCTGTGTTTATACTGCAGTGGCCACCTGGGAACCACCGAACAAACTGGAATCTCCACACACGATAGACGGTTAAGAGCTGGAAGGGTTCTAGAGAGCCTTCAGCGAAGCCCTCTCGTGTTACAGATGAGGAAACGCCAGCCCAGTAGAGTGGGGTCATCCCCAGCAGAGGCAGGTGTCAGGGATTCCAGCCCAGGGCACGTTCTTATTCCTCACCGCCTCCTGGAAACACAATTTGCCAAATTCTTTAACTATAGAGCAGGGATCGGCCAATGTTTTCCACAAAGATGTCCATCAGAGGGTAAATATTTTAGGCTTTGCAGTCCATTCTGTCTCTGCCCAAGGGAAAAGCAGCCATAGGCAATAGTAAACAGATGGGTGTGGCTGGGTTCGATAAAACTTATTTATAGACATTGAAATTTGAACTTAATATACTTTTCACCTGTCATGTAACAATATTCTTTTGATTTAGCTTTAACTACTTAAAAACGTTAAACTATTCTTAGCTCACGTAAAAACCGAGGGCCACCCAGCCGTGGCTTGCTCTGGAGGCCTGAAAGTGTGAGCCCTGCCACCAAGTGCCCCTAAGTATGCGGAGCCATGGATGAAGCTTACAGCATATCGACCTACTTCCTGGCCTAGTATGGGACAGGGGTGCTACCAGATTCTGGAAGAAAAGACTTGAGCTGTACATTTTGCAGCGGGCTGGGGTTGTTTCCTTATGCATATTAAAGACACTGTAAAATGTTTCCTGGGCTCTTTAACGGACAAGGAATGCACATTTCACCATGCGCTTTCTCTGGCAGGACTGACTTTTACGCTCGTTAATAATATCTTAGTCAAGGTCAGGAAGTTAACTAATCTTGTAGTTTTCCCTCGTGGTCTGCCTCTCCCACCAACTTGGTTATTCAGTTAAGAGCCACAAAGATCCGGTCTGGGACATTTCATTAACTGAGAACACCAAATGCAAGGACGATTTTATTATTTACTTTTCCGTGAGGGGGACTTTTTTTTTTCATGCTCTAATGAAATTAATTTGGAAGATTTATTAAGTCATTCACCCAATCATGCAGAATGGGGTTTTTCAACCTTTACATGAGTGATACTTTGGGCCAGATAAATCTTTGTTCTTAGGGGCTGTCCTGTGCATTGCAGGACATTTAGCAGCATCCCTGGTCTCTGCCTAGAGATGTCGGTAGAACTCACCACTCCAACTGTGTCAGCCAAAAATGTCTCTAGACATCGCCAAATGTCCCCTGGGGAGCAAAATTGTCCCCTGTTAAGGACCACTGTATTAAAGTGAAACATTTATTGAGCACTTGCGGTATTCCATGCACTTTTTTTTCTTTCCCTGCTTTTTTCTCCCCAAATCCCCCCAGCATACAGTTGTGTATTTTTAGTTGTAGGTCCTTCTAGTTGTGGCACATGGGATGCCGCCTTAATGTGGCCTGATGAGTGGTACCATGTCCGCACCCAGGATTCGAACCAGCGAAACCCTGGGCCGCGGGAAGTGGAGCGCATGAACTTAACCACTCGGCCATGGGGCCGGCCCCCCAAGCACTGTCTTAGTCACAATGTGTGATGAAAAAGACCTGATCTTTGCTCTCTAAGTTCAGTCTGTTGAAAACAGATACATTACAGTATAGGACGGCATGGTAAGTATCGTTACAATGTCTTCACTGAGAAATAAGACAGCCATCTGTCATAATCTAATCTGTTCCTAACGATTCTGCAAAGGATACCATAATCTTGACCCAGACTGCATGTAACAAACAATTCTCAAACAAGAAACCATGGCCTACTGAACATAAAGTGTGTTGAGTAAATGCTGGTCCAAATACAGTGATATACTTGAGAATCTTTTTTTAGCATTTAAAAAATTGAGATATAATTCACATAACATTATTTTGAAGTGTATACTTCAATGGTTTTTAGTATATTCCCTGTGTTATACAACCATCACCACTATCTAATTCCAGAACACTTCCATCACTCCAAAAAGAAACCCCATATCTAATAGCAGTTACTCCCAACTCTCCCCTCCCTCCATCCCCTGGCAACCACAAATCTACTTTTCGTCTCTGGCTTTGCCTGTTCTGGACATTTCGCATAAAGGTAATCACATGCTATATGATCCTTTTGTATCTGGCCTCTTTCACTTAGCATGTTTTCAAGGTTCATCCATGCTGTGGCACATAACAGTACTTCATTCCTTTCTATTGCTGAAGAATATATCCATTGTATGGATAGACCACATTTTGTTATCCATTGGTGGACATTTAGGTTCTTTCCACTTTTTGGCTGTTATGAATAATGCTGCTATGAACAATTGTGTACAAGTTTTTGTATGGACACATGTTTTCATTTCTCTTGGGTATACACCTAGGAGTGGAATAGCTGGGTCATATGGTAACTCTACGTTTAACTTTTTGAGGAAATGCCAGACTGTTTTCCAAGATGGCTGCATCATTTTACATTCCCAGGAGCAATGTATGAGGGTTCCAGTTTCTCCACATTCTCATCAGCACTTGTTATTGTCCATTTTTTAATTACAGCCAGTCTAGTGGGTGAGAAGTGGTATCTCATTGTGGTTCTGATTTGCATTTCCTTGATAGCTAATGATGCTGAATATCCTTCACGTGTTATTGGCCATTTGTGTATCTTCTTTGGGGAAAGGTCTATTCAGGTCCTTTGCCCATTTTTTAAATGTGTTATCTGTCTTGTTGTCTTAAGATTTGAACATAAACATTGAAATTTATTGGTAAAAACAGCTATCCCCATACCTTGGTGAATAAGGTAACATTGCCTCACCCTACAAAAAACTCTCCCACCTAGATCCTCGGCGGGTCAGTTTCTTGACCACGCGTGCCTGTAATAAACCTTGAGTGTCCACATCTGTTTTCTCTTCCTTTAACAACATGGAGCTGATGTTTGGGAGGCAGCGTGGAGGGAGGAACTAACTTTTCCTGGGAAAGAGAGGAGGGTGTCACAGGAGAGGTGACATTTGAGTTGGCTTTAAAAAGAAAACATGATAAACAGGAAAGCTTCATGGGGGAAAATTCTTCCCATGGTATTTTAATTCCATATTTTTATAAGGAATGTGGAATTCATTTAATTAGATTCCAATCTATCCACAAAACCAGAGATGACCTGCTAACTTCTTGATTACAAGTTTGCAAGCAATATGCTCCCCAGCTCCAATAGGAGGGGTCTTACCTATTTCCTGATGCCAAAAAAGCCAGCTTAATTCTCAATAGGGCAGTAATATGTACTGAGTCTTGTGCTAGGTAGTGGGGATAAAGAAATGAATACGGCAGACGGGGCCCCTGATAATGAACTTTTAGACAAGAGGGTGAGGGTAATAGAGGCACTAAATGTATTCAGTCAGCTATAGAAGCTTAAAGCAAATAAACATAATCTGGTCAAAAGGATCCAAGATGTTCCCTCTGAGGGTACAACCTTTAAGTGAGACTGAAGATGAACAGGGGTCAACCACATGGAGTGAGGAAAAGAATATTACAGGCTGAGGTAACAGAATGAGTGCAGGCTCAGAGGTAAGAGACACCACACCTGTGCTTGAGGAACCAATAGAAGACCAGAGGATTGGAGCAAAGGGAAGAAGAACTTGGCTGGTGGGAAATGAGCCTTAAGAGTCGGGCAGGGGCTACAACATGCAGCGTCTTGTGAGTCAAGTTAGGGCTACAGGGTCTTATAGTCTAATGGCAATGGGACAACACTGAAGTGTTCTAAATAGGGAGGTTATTTGATAAGATTTTCTTTTAGAAAAATATAATCACGGCAGCAGACTGGAAAATGGACAGAATAGAAGCAGGGATACCGGTTGGCTTTGAAGAAAGAGTCTGGTTACTTGGACTGGAACAGTAGCAGTGGAGGTGGGGAGAAATGGAATCAAGGTGGAACCAAAAGACTTGGTAATAGATTAGTCATTCATTCAGCAAGTATTTATTGGGCACATACAATGTATCAGGTACTGGGTCAGTATCCAGAGGTTCAGCAGCAACCAAGAGGGACGTAAGATCTCTGTCCTCACGGAGATCATATTCTGATCAATCGGATGTGGAGTGTGGGAGGGATGCATTATCAGGCAGACAGCAGTGTTGTATTTCTGGAATGGGGAATATGGGTGGAGGAACATGTTAGGGAATAGGGTAAATGATGAGTCCTCTTTGGGATGTGCTGATTTTGAGGGCTTACTAGACAGACAAGCAAGGGAAGGTGTTGAGTAGAAGCTGGATATTTGGGCCATAAATCCAGGAAGCAGGACTGGATTTGGAAGTTATCTGCAGGTAGTTGGTTTACTGGATCTATGGGAATGGATGTAGTGTCAGAAGACAAGGACACTTAGGGTAGAGCTCCAAGGAAACCAGCATGTGAGAGGTGGGCCACGGAGAAGGAAGACCCAGAAAGAGACTCAGACAATGCTCAGAAAGGTATAAGGGCATCAGGTTAGTATGGTGTCAGGAAAGCCAACTGAGGAGAATGTTACTAGAAAGAGAGCAGGATCAGCTCTGCTGTTGAGAGGGTACATAATATGGTGGTTAGGACTATGGT